GCCCTCATGTTAATTGGGATGCCTATATCTTTATGTCTTCTTATGCTAAACACGAATATAATTTTTAACTTCCTAAAAGATGAAACGGATTAAATATTTTATATTTCCATTCTAAAATATAGCAACTTTATATAATTATAAGTTATTATATTTTAAGATGGAGTTATAAGTTATTATATTTTAAGATGGAGGTAATAGCTTCTAGCGGATACTCTAGCCTTTATCTGGCACTGACTCTGATAGTCTCGTTTGGTTCAGCTGCTTTTTTATAAGTTTCATTGGCAAATTGATTTTCCTTTATATTCCATTTCGTAAATCTTCTGGTAATCGCAACTATTTAGAAAATCTGTAGATCCCTAAAAACATCTCCGACGGAATAGCTATCTCACTCCCCAAGTTAAAATTTGATAATTTTGGATGAAAAACACACTCCAAGATACTTGCTAACCGGATGGCCAAGCTCCTCCCCTCGCTGGCCAAAGTTGGCCAGCCAAAATTGCCTTGCCAATCGTGGGCCCCATACAGGGCCTATCCATTTTCCCCTTTCTCCGTTTCTGGGAGAAACGAGCGCGCTGCCCTCTCTCTCCATCCGCCATCTCCTCGATCGAGCGCGCCACCGGCACCATCCTTCCATCGCGCTGTCGTTGCCATCGACCTGCACCGCCCGCGTCGTTGCGCCGCTCCTGCCGGCCGACCGTCTCCCTCGCTGTCGCCTTCCCTTCTCCAACGTTGGACGTGCAGCGGCCCTCCAAACTGCTGCTCCACCTCGCCTCACCCCGGTTCTGCCGTCCCCCGCTGCGGCTGCCATCCGCCGAGGGAGGAGTGCAGCCGCCGGATCCGCCGTCTGGAGCTCCGGTTGCCACCTCCGTCAGCGTCTCGACCAATGCCCTCCCTTGTCTTCGTGCTCCCGTCTCCCCTTCTCTCTCCCACATCTCTAGCGGTGGCGGAACCTCATCGTATCCTCCTCGCCGTTGTTGCCGACGTCAATACGCCCTCCGCCGCACAGGTTCAGCTGGCGGAGATGAGAGGAGAGAAGAAGAAGAAGAAGAAGAAGAAGAAGAAGAAGAAGAAGAAGAAGAAGAGGACAGAGAGAGAGGAGGGGTTGAGAAGGGGTGAAAAATAACTAGGGAGGTTGACACGTGGGACTCACTAGTATAGTGGAGAACTGTAATAGAGAAGCTGTTGGAGTGAAAGGCAAATTTGATTGTCCGAATTTTCGGCAAGCTGACTAAATGCATATTTGGAGAGTAAGATTTGAAGATGCTGTTGAAGATGCTCTGAACAATTAAGATTCTCATGCATTATTTAAGATTGGGTAGATGCGGAATTAATCCAGAAAATGAACTAGTGACATGGCAACCTAGAGATAACAATCGGGGGAACTATATATAAAAGTTGGAGAACAATTTTACATCGTCATAATTCAATCAATAAAACAAAGTACTAGTATTAAGAGTAGGTTTTAGTTTCCACAACAACTTCAAAAACAATCACAAGCTAACAACCACAAATTGGCCCTAGCCTAGCAGAGTGGTAAGTTAGTACTAGTAGCTAGCCGGTGGCTGGTGCAAGTGCAACGCAATTACCAGAACCCCCTCTGTTTTGGGTAGATATGGCTACTGGGCTAGCTATAGTGACGCGTTGAACTTGTCGCCGTACGTCTCTTTTTGACAGTACTGGAGATTGACCAACTGAACCGACCTACTCCCTCCGTCAAAAAAAAAAAAAAAAAAAGACAAACTCTGAATTTTCGTATCCAACGTTTAACCGTCCATCTTATTTAAAAAATTATAAAAAAATTAAAAATACAAGTCACGCATAAAGTATTAATTATATTTTATTATCTGACAACAATGAAAATACGTATTAATTATAAAAAAAATTATATAAGACAGACAGTCAAACGTTAAACACGGAAATTCAGGGTTTGTCTTTTTTTAGACGGAGGGAGTAGCTTGTCTGGTTCTGATCTGAACATTTCCAATTATATTATTCCTTTCGTGGGAAAACCGTACTCTCCCGTTTCTAAATATTTGACGCTATTAATTTTTTTAAATATGTTTGACCGTTCATCTTATTTATAAGTAATTATTAATTATTTTTCTATTATTTGATTCATTGTTAAATATACTTATATGTATACATATACTTTTACATATTTAAAAAAAATTAAATAAGACGACCAAGTACTTAGAAACGGAGGGAGAGTACATTGAGATGTTGTAGGCCAGGTGCATTTACAACGACGATCTCCATATCGCTCGCGCGGCCGATCGAGCCGAGCCGAGCGTGAGGGATACGGCCGGCCGCGGCTGCCGATCGATGATGTAGCTGCTAGGTAGCTAGTGGGGCGGCGCCGCCGCAATGCCGCGCGCGCATGCGAAGTCGACGACGACGACGACATGCGCGTGCGGGTGCGTCGCTGTCGATCTAGAGACCGACATAGATGCGGCTGACGACGATGGATCGATGGATGGATGGATGCTTGTCGTTGTCGATCGTCGTCGTCGTAGTACGCGCTCGCTCGCTCTCGGGCCCAGCTAGCAGCTGCATGCAGCGCGTTAATTCGCGCGTGCGTACGTGGGCGTTTAAAAAAAAGCTAAGCTAGCTAGCTAGGTCCCACATATATCCGATTACTGATAGACAAGCAAGATAAGGCCGTGTTTAGATGGGATTGAAAACTTTTAAGTCCCTATCATATCGGATGTTTGGACACTAATAATAAATGTTAAACGTAGATTATTAATAAAACTCATTCATAATCTTGGACTAATTCGCGAGACGAATCTATTGAGCCTAATTAATCCATGATTAGCCTATGTGATGCTATAGTAAATATTCTCTAATTATAGATTAGTTAGGCTTAAAAAGTTTGTCTCGCGAATTAGCTTTCATTTATATAATTAGTTTTATAAGTAGTCTATATTTAATACTCTAAATTAGTGTCTAAACACAGGGACTACAGTTAAGTCCTGATCCAAACACCACCTAAGCAAGCTGCGCCTCCCCGGCCGTGTCTGTCACTCTGTTATCAGCAGAAAGATCTCTTCGAGTTGGTAAGCCGTAAGGCGTATGGAAAAGACTTGTGTGAGGTACAAGGGCGGATCTACAGTGTTTCTGATTCCGAAGATCTTCAATCAGATCTCTGTACATAAAACCAAAACTGGTCATATCTAGAAGATGACACTAATTAGGGAGGAGGGGTCATTATCATGACAAGTATGGTGTAATACTCCGTCCATTCCAATTTGATCATCCCGGCCAGCCGGCCCTAAGATTTTTGAGATTTTTGCAAATTGATTATCTTCTAACAGGTGTCTGTGCGTTTATTCACACATAAGTAAATTAATGGCATCGTTGCATATCTGTTCGTTTATATGAGCAGAAGAAAAAACTATCATAACATGTCTGTTTGTTTATCTGTGCATACAGGAGTAAATAACATCGTTGCATGCCCACAAGCATGCCTAAAACAACACCTTGATCAATGAGGTTTAACTTTAGAATGAATGATATTTTATTACCTTGGTCTTAGTGCCATTTGTAAATATGATGATCAAATCAGGATGAAGAGAGTTTTTAATAGTAAACAGTTGCCCAACCCTAAACATGTTACTCCATCTTTATGTTTTTTATTGGCTCTTTTGGTCTATAATTATACCACAAAACAAGTGAGATACTATGTGTAATACTATAGCTTATTCGACTATAACTTATTATCATTTATAGTCTATATGGGACTCTAGCTATTAACACCCATACTCCATAATAAGACGATTTAGGGGTTTTATTAATAAATATGAACCAAAACACTACCTTTTCTTTTGGGGGACAATATATTATGATGCAATTCTATTGACGGTAAACGATGCTAAATCAAATTTAATGTTATATTTGCAAATTTAATCAGAAGTTGATGTGAATCAAAGGGAAAGGTATATCCTCTCAATTCAGAACTAGGAAGTAGGAACTAGGAGCCTTTCATCTTCACTTCTTGAGCGGTAGGTAGACACCACAAAAATAAATCGCTGATCGGCGGAGGCCCAATGGGCCTGTGCAAGGAGAGAGCAAGCAGGAGCTGTAGGATGGGAATGGACCTTGGGTATGGTAGAACTGCACGCCCGTGAAGGCGTGAAGTTACGGGGAGTTCCCAGTAGGCGCGTACGCGTCGCGAGCATAACTAGCACGCACACGGCGCACGTTTTTAGAAGGACGTGGTAGCCTAACTAGTTAAAGATAATGATAGTAATTAACAATAGATTTTTTTATTTTATTAGGAGATTTTTTTTCCAAATAGATTAAAAAATTTTAAGTTACATTTGAAAACTTTTGACTTAAGATTACTTTGAACTCAAATTTTAAAAACTTTCAACTCAAATTTGAAAACTTTCAACTTGAGATTTGAAAACTTTCAGCTCGAGATTTGAAAACTTTCAGCTCGAGATTTGAAAACTTTCAACTCGGATTTGAAAACTTTCAACTTGAGATTTGAAATTTTTTAAATTAAGATTTAAAAATTTTCAAGTCAAGATTTAAAAACTTTCAAAAAAAATGAAAACATTTGCTGCTGGAAGATTAAAAAGTAATCAGGAAAAAAGTAAAAAAAAGGAAAGCCAAAGAAAAATCACAGAAGAAAAAAAAGCGGAAAAAAAAAAAGAAAACAGCGGTGGTTAGATTTCGCGCGCGCCGTGTGGGCCGTATGGGTCGGGAGTGGGCGCTGCCAGCGTGGGCGCGAATTAGAATTCTCGGAAGTTACGTACTTCAGTAAGTCAGACGATCCGGATCTGCCATTCCTCGTATTTTGTTGGTTTGATTTGATAATTGCATGTGTTGGTTGGTAATTGCCTGTGTTTAGAGACAGTTTTAATTTTTTGGTGGCTCCTACTCCTATCTGGTTTAGCCTTCCCACATGATCACAGATCGCTAGAACTATTCTTGGCATGGCTAAATTATTCACCCCCAATCTCCGCCCGCAGGCTTGCCGTCCTCCAACCCCAGCTTCTCCTGTCCACTCATCCATGGCCATATATCAGCTTACGTTCACCGCGAGATTGGAGGAGATTGGGATTACATACATGTCCGGAAAAGAGCTTCAGATTAATTAGCAGCAATGGTGTCCTCCCATGCAGCCATCGTCTTCTTCCTCGTCGCCGCGTCGTCGCTCCTCTCATGTACGTGCATGCATGTCTGTATAGTATCTTCCGGTCGATCAGTTTGATATATCTCTGCGAGAATGTGGCGGTGCAGACGGTGAGGCGGCGCCGAAGATGACGGCGGTGGCGGCGGACTACGGGTACCCGGCGGACTACGGGTACGCGGCGGGGAGCAAGCTGGGGCCGGAGAACTGGGGGAAGCTGAGCCCGGCGTACAAGCTGTGCGGCGACGGCAAGAAGCAGTCGCCCATCGACATCGTCACCAAGCAGGCCATCTCCAACCCCAACCTCGACTCACTCAACCGCACCTACACCGCCTCCGACGGCACCCTCGTCAACAACGGCAAGGACATCTTGGCAAGCCATCTAACCTAACTAGCTAGACCTACCTACATTGGGATTTTTTTTGAATTTGTTTTTATTTTTAATTCTAAAAACAAACATTTCTCATTCATATTTTCAATATCTGAACCTTTTGACCACGGGTTGGCGTGGCAAAATAATACTGCCATGTCAGTCTGAATACACGGTGTGGTAGAAATAAATTTTCATGCTGGTTTTAGGTGACGTGATATGTTATTTTACCATGGTAGGCAGGTTGGCGTGGCCAAAAGATTCAGATTTTGGAAATAAATTTAAGAAAGGTTTGTTTTTGAAATAAAAAAATTTAGAAAAGTTCAAGAAAAAAATAAAAAAAAATTCTCCATTGGGAAAACTCTATTCATCCCTTCAAGAGATATCCCCTTATTTTTGCATGTCACTTAAAAAGTCATTAAAAATTTTGAAAAAATTTAGTAGCATATGTAATATGTCACTTCACAATACATATTCAAATTCAACTTGTACATATAGAAACAAAAATAACAAATTTGACTATGAATAGAACGCATAATTCACGGTTAAATTTATTATTTTTGTTTCGAATTGTATAAGAATTTTAACTTGCGTGTCTGTGAAAAGATATATCATATATTGATCTATCTTGATGATTTTTTTTTTAATTTTTCGATAACGTTTTGAACGTCATGCACAAAACGAGAGGATGTCCCCCGAGGGACAAAAATCCACTTCCCCTGCATTGTTGCATTATCCAATGGAGCTAGCTAGCAGAGATTTGATTGATTGGCATATCGAACCATGGCGCAGATGGAGTTCGAGCCAGACAAGGTGGGGACGGTGACGGTGAACGGCAAGGTGTACAGCTTCAGGCGGGTGCACTGGCACGCGCCGTCGGAGCACACCATCAACGGGGAGAAGCACCCGCTGGAGCTCCAGATGGTGCACGCTGCCGCCGACGGCAGCCTCGCCGTCATCGCCATCCTCTACAAGTACGGCGCCCCGGACTCCTTCTACTTCCAGCTCAAGAGGAAGCTCGCCGAGCTCGCCGCCGACGGCTGCAGCTTCGGCGAGGAGAACGCCCAGGTCGCCCTCGGCCTCGTCCACCTCCGCTCGCTGCAGAAGCGGACGGGGAGCTACTTCCGCTACGCCGGCTCGCTGACGGCGCCGCCGTGCACCGAGGACGTCTTCTGGAGCGTGCTCGGCAAGATCAGGCAGATCAGCCAGGAGCAGGTCGCCCTCATCACCGCGCTGCTCCCCGCCGGCGGCGCGAGGCCGACGCAGCCGCTCAACGGCCGCACCGTGCAGTTCTACAACCCGCCCAACAGCACCATCTCCTTCAAGGTCTAGTAGCCCCAGGCCCAATGGGCTTTGGCCCATTTATATATACTATATGGGTTGCATTGGGCTGCACAGGCCCTGAAATTGATTGAAGGATCTCAATTTTTGAGATTTTTCTTGTTTCTGGAGAAAAAAAATTCATGTACTGTTGCTTAGATAGGCCCTTATCTATAGTATAGTAACATATGTATATGAATTTAATTTTAGGATTTGGAAACATGGTTGCTTATCCTCACTTGGAATTAGGCTTTTAAAAGTCGAGCACATGTGCACTTGTTTTTCATTCAAACATTAGCCTGTCGCATAGATAGTCTTTTTCTTAATAATTAGAGCTGATTTGAATTTTAGAATTCGGTTTTAAGAGCATGCTGTTAGTTTTTTTTTAGCATTTTCAACCTTTTCAAACTAGACATAACATTACCAACACAATCCTACTAATTTTTGATATATAATTCCAGAACTTTCTACTATCACAATTTTTACTAAAATTTGGTAAGTTATCAAACTAAACATGACACAATCTTACCTTACCAATTTTTTTAAAAAAAAATAAAGTGGACAAGCCCTAAAATAAATTTTACGTTTTTCTATTCCATGCTTCCATTCCTCAACCCTCTTTCCACGATTGCTAAGGAGACCATCAAAAAATCTACATAGGATTATTTTGAAAATCACATTTCAAAACTTTGTCTTTTTAGAAAAAAAAAAGTTATGCCAAGCAGGACCAACATCGAAGACCATGGAAACTAATTAGTATAATCAATCCAAATACGAAATCTTCTGATAGTTTTCATACAACACTCCAACCCAACAAACTATTCAAATCTCAACAGACAAAAACAAGCCAAAAAAATTAAACAAAAATTAAATGGAGAAGGAGCCCAAAAAAATGTGTCCTAACTGCAGTATGTACACATCTCAACTACACCGAAAGCACTGGCACCAACTAACAGCAACAGAGACTCGTACCAAACCCAAATAGTCCTCTACTACAACGGCCCAGATCTCGCCACGCGTCCATCCGGCTCCATCTCGGTCGCCCAATCCGCCGCCCGCCTCCCCGACGCGAACCGCATCATCCCTCCCAACCCCGGCGCCATCGCCGCCGCCGCCGCCGGCGTCGCCTCCTTGACCTCCTTCGGCTCTCCCCGCCTCGACGCCCATGGAGGCAGCGGAGGCGGGGACTGGTCGACGCACTCCACGGCGTTCTTCTTCCGCGAGTGACTCCGGCGGAACAGACCGCCGAGCCCGGGGCAGCAGCCACCGGCGGGGACCATCCGCCCCGCCGGCCGGCGACCCCGGCGCGCGCGCTCACGGTCGGAGAGGACCTTGCCGATGCAGGAGACCTTGGGCGACGTCGGCTCGTGCTCGGGGACGGCCGCCTTGGGGTTGCGGCCGCCGCCTCCCGTGACGGCCACCTTCTTGGGGAACATCGCCGGCGGGTGGTGGCGGTTCTTGCCGCCCTGCCCGAGCTTCCCCGATATCCCGATGATGGGCGCCGCCGTGGGCTTGAGGTTGCCGGAGAACCTCTGCGACCCGCCGTTGTGGGCGCCGGGGAGGTGGTTCTTGAGGATGCACTTGGGGTTGGTGTTCTCCTTGAGCGAGTCGTCGCGGTCGTAGACGCCGCCCACGTCCGACCAGGCGATGTCGTCGCCGATCCGCAGCCGGGTGGACTCCGGTGGGTCGCCGGAGAGGTCGCGCGCGGAGGAGGCCATCGGAGAAGAAGAAGAGAGAGAGAGAGGTGTGTGGAAACGGAGGGAAAGGGTCTCGTCGTCGGCGGCGGGTGGCGTGGTTTTAAAGGAGTTTGTGCAAGTTTGGTATGGTTTTGGATGGATGGATGGCTATGTGTTGTGTGATTGCAAGAGGCTGACTTGTCATTTTCTAGGAGTATGTTTTTTTGTAATTTCTTGGTTTAGTAAACGATTTAGAGTTGAAACAAGGAAGGTGGGATTTAGGTGAACCTGGTTTACATGGCTCCTATAAAGAAACGCATGAATTCTTTTATATAGGTTTAATTTAATTCCCACACAATTCATAAAGAAAATCCCTTGCAACGGAGGCCAAGAGTGATTTTTGTAGGGTTTAAACTGATTCCTGTAAAACCATGTGTTTATAAGATATTACAACAAATCAAGTTAGATTATTTAATATTTTACCTTGATTTCTTCTTACCAAACAAATGTTCGCATTAACTGACACTCCTTTTAACTCTTTTGGGCTCCTTTGAATCGCAATAATGAAATAAAAAATGAAAGAATAGAAAGAGCACATAATGCTAAAAGGAATAGAAGTGTAAGATATATGATTGTAAAACACAGGAATGACCATTTAATTGGACCGTAGGAAAAACACAGGAATTGGATGAGAGAGATAAACTCGTTAGAAATTAGAAATTTTCCAAGAGCCTTGAGCTCTTGCTAAGTTTCATCCAAGGTATCTATAGGATTTTCCATTTCACAGGAATTTCACAAGATTTTATAGGATTCAATCATTTTGATTCATAGCCATTCATAGGAGTTTTTCCTATAGGATTAAAATCTCTAAAATTTCTATGTTTTTCTCGGAATCAAAAGGGCCTTTAGCATGATAAATTAGTAATAGTACTTGACATATCACACTCAGAGCTTGTTTGGCATAGCTCCAACTCCAGCTCCACCTGTTATGAATCTAGAGCTCAGCTAAACAATTTCAACTCCACCTAAAATAGGAGTGGAGCTCTTTCACAAAATAAACCAGAGAAGTAGAGCTAGGTTTAGTCTGCTCCACAACTCACTCCAGATCCAACTCTTGAATCTAAATTTAGGAGTTAAATCTCTACCAAATAGACCCTCGCTCTGCCAAGCCACCCATGAACAGTGTTTTTCTAAATATGTACTACTACTACTTGCAGCTGGTCTATTGAACCATGCTCAGGTGAAGAGGTAGGGAGGGAGACAGCATCAAGTATAATACGGGTATTTGGTTTACCTTGAGACTAACGACAGGTTTTGGGAGACGTTTCTAGCTGCTGTTGCCCAGTTTTCCAAGCTAATACTAGTGCAGTCGTGCAGGGATGCAGGCATGCAGCAGCCGACCAGCCACCCCGAAATCCCGCGGTTTCGGACTTTTTTGACCCTTGGACTCTGCACTTTGCTCCGTTTTACAGTGCTGCTCCCGCTTCCCCGCAACTCAACCTCTTTCTTTGCTCTCCTCAAACCGAACCTTCTCTGCCATCGTCTTCCTCTTTTCAGAAACTGTCTCTCTTCTACTGCTGATGAAGCTGATCATCACAATCTTGCTTTGCTATGATCAGAGCAAGTTCTCGTCAGGTTTAATTTCAGGTGGTCAAACAATTGCAGTATGAGCAGTAGTAGTTTGTATTACTGTCACTGTCAGCGCCATATCTTTCTTGATCTTACAGGCAAGCAAAAGCTCTGTAGAGAGTTTTAGCTTACTGTTCTGATCGCGATCGTTCGCTGTGTGCAGTTGATTGCCCATCACGTCTGCTGATACTACACTCTGACTTCCATGCACATATGACTGCTACTAGTAATCCAGGCAATCCAGCTGGTATCAAGCAGGATCACTGCCTCTGACGACATCACTACTGGCTTTAGCTTAACTGGCAACAGGTTACTGAAGATCGCAGAATGTTCCAACGAAGCTGGTGACCAGCCTACTCCTAAAATTCTTAGCTGCATCACCTATAGTGATGTTGTTTTTCTTGCTCTGATTAATCAATCACATTTCATCGCAAAAGGCCGTTTCATCATCATACCTTTGTCATCTTCAGGGTTCCATTTGGAAAAATGAATGCGGAAAATTCATCCTAAGCATCCATCTTTTGACCAGGGCACACATGCTTCTACTACTACTACAATTTCTACCAATCAACGCAGGCGATAGACTTGCATAGCAGCCAAAACGCCTGAGCCTGACCTTGATGTCAACATCGGGATGACGCCGAAAGAATTTGCAAAGGTAACACTGCATTGACCGCAAGAACAAAGCAGAGTGGAAGATTCAGAGAGCAAGAGTTCACACTGCAAAAAAGCAATTTTACGGCAAAAGCAAACGCTTGCTTTGCTTGACCAGCAGATACAGGGTTTGAAAGCATGAGTAGTGCTATGCTCTCTCTTTTATCGATCGATTTGTCTGCAGAAAGTTGTACCCACGTCTTGTTAGCTGCCGAATTATAAGAAACTTTGTTGGCTGATGAAACTGCGTGTAGGTGTTTAATCAATTTAATCATCCGCCCTGCTTTTAAAGAGACCAGAGGTTGGAGCACCGTTTTAGAAGCCTGTTGTTGGTTCATCTGTTGCGTCATGCTAGTACAGCTTCAGAGCATTTCTCTGTCCTGTTCCAAAAAGCTCAACTACTTTTATTTAAATAATTGGGTGAATTACTATCATGAATCATCTATTTATTTTAGAAAAAAAATATTTTAAAAAGTAAACTTATCGGTAATTAATATCGTAATCTCGTAAAAAACTATCACCATAACATCGTAAATATAATAGATTATTTTTAGATAATATAATAAAAATTGGCTTACGCACAACCATACTCGTCGATACGAGAATTTGAACCTGATAGGTGAAATTACATACTCACGACTCCATCTCTCAACAGTAATATTTTCACAACTTATTACTTCTAGATTTTTTTTAAGATTTTGGGTATACAGAAAGACTCGTTCTACTACTACTCCCTCCGGACTGATAATACTTGTCATTTTAGATAAGGGTGAGGTCAAACTTTAGAATATTTGATTATGAATCATTTTTAAAATATTTGTCAATCAAATATGGTGACTACATGTATAGATTAGTCTTAAAAGTACTTTAATAAAATCATATATTTTTTCACACTTTTATACATATTATAATAGAAAATAATGGTTAAAGTTTTTTTTGGAGACCGTGCCCTTATCCAAAACGACAAGTATTATCAACCCGGAGGGAGTACAATATAACCTTGAAAGATAAAGTTTTGGTAGTTTAATCGAATCTTATCCGAAATATCAAATGTTTATGACAACTGAGGATATTGCGTTAACCATAAGCCAACTTATAGAACAAACTATATATATTATTTTATTATCTATTTCTTGTGCTATACTCTCTGTGTCCAAAATTCTTAAGCATAATTCATTTTCTCTCTTTTTTAAATAAGATAGCATATTTGTATATTTGTAGTCTTCATGCATCTAAGACTTAAACGAAGAGGTTATCTTTTTATTTTACAATATTAGATTAAAATGTTAACTGTAGCCTAAGTAACCATTTTAATACTTATTGGTTATATGCATGTATATAGTTTTTAATCTTTATTAAATGCATGATGATTTTTTTTGGTGACAAAAGATATACATTGGATGAAAGGATTAATACTATACAACTAGCCTGATTTTCGTTAACACGTTTTTCAAACTATAAACGGTGCATTTCGTACGAAAACTTTTTATATGTAATTTGTTTTAAATTATTATATAAATTCATTTTGAAGTTTAAAATAATTATTGCATCCGTCTCAGCTACCTAGGATGAGCGAATATGTCATTTTGTACAGATTCATGGTCTTACGATGAATCAGATCTCATTCTACTCCATCCGTCCCAAAATATAAGCATTTTTAGCTATGAATCTGGACAACTGTATGTCCAAATTCATAGAAAAAATACTTATATTTTGAGACTGAAGTAGTAGATAATAATATTTTAGAATGAAGAAAATAAAACTCAACTAGCTAATCACGCACTAATGATTTTCTCGTTTTATATACTCATATTTAATCTTCATCTTTTATCACCTTCAACAGGCATATAGGTTGCCGGATCAGGTTTATATGGACCCACATGGCTGGCTACTTCCCTGATGACGATTTTCAACTATGGATATACTGGAGTAGATGTCAAATCGTCTTGCTCTTACTTGCACCAATCGTGAGGTGTTACAATACCTAGGAGTAGAGAAGACCTTCATTTGGTCCAGAAGCTTCTAGAAGCCACTCGGACCGGCCAATACAGTGCGGGAAAAAGACAAGGCTGCGAAGGTTTGCGCTGACGCAATCGCGCCCTTTGGCTTAAGCTACACGCCAAACGCATGACAGCTTCTAGTAGATGGAGGAATTACAGGTCACTGGCTGCCTCGGACACGGTGTGCTGGGCCGCAGCATGGGCCTCCATCGGTGGGTCCTGGGCTACTGGCCCGTTTGCATCCTTATCATGGGGCCGTGGGCCCGTGGCCTATGAAACTGTGGGCCGGGATATTTATTCCAGCTAGATGCAGACCTGCAGGTTTTCAACTTTACTGAGTTACACTAACCAATGAAATTAACTAATAATGCTATATATGGTTGAAAAGTTGATTTGGAAAAGGTAAGAAATTAGGGAAGAATTATTTTTTTTTATAAAAATAGGTACCGTCTAGAAGATTAGGAAGTGTGTATTTCTCTTGTGCATGCCTTCCAATTGGTCTCAGAAACCACAGCGTCAGATGGTAATGTTGAAAACGTTTCCCTTTGTTTTTTTTAGAACATTCCTTTTGGGTTCAGATTGACATCGATCATGTGTGTGCACGGATACAGACAGAACACAAACCGTCTAGTAAAAATCTGAGCAACTGAATCTCACATCAATATTGACATATTGTACCTTCAATTCTGTAAGAATCGAGTTGAAAATCACGCTTGCAGAAGGAACTCGAGTTACTTGGAACAGCTAAGCCGATATTTTCGTGGTCTAGATCGCATCATTGTAATGGCCTGAATGCCCTTCAGAAACGTGTCCCGTCTACTTCAAGACAACTTACAGTAATTACTTGTAAGCAATAATAAGATAAACATCATATCTGTAAAGGCAAATATGAGAATTGAGAATTAGGTGCCCCAAGTACCTCCAATTATGGTGGACCGTCTTCTCGAGCCTTGGCTTCCCATATTGCTTTCCCTGTTTTCTTCCACGAGTGACACTGCTCCTGCCGACTCAAAGTTCCGAGAGAGCATTGCCGTGGATTCGACATGGTTGTGACTCTTGGCGCGTGGTCTATTTGAAAGGAACGGAACAACTGCGTGTTGAACAACTGTTCTTGGCCCTGATCCAAGGTGGTCGCAAGCATGGCACAAAAGGCCGCCCTTTGGCATCTTGCCCATCTCCTGTCGACAATGCTGCCTTCTTAGTGTGATACGTTGTCTGGTCGTTCCATTGTAATCACGAGAGTAGGCTTAAGTCTTCGTTTTCCTCTGTTTTCTCATTTTCTTCCCAAATCCCCCTTCATTTCTTTGTTTTGTTATTTGTGTAAATTTTATTTCTCTTAATATAAATGTACACAATCCTTTTGCGTATTCCAAAAAAAAGAATTGAGAATTATGCTGCTGTCGTGCTGTCGAGTACTAGTATTTCAATTGAATAAGCTTAACAACGGGTGTGTTTAGTTCCTGAAAAAAGCTAGAAGTTCAGAGAAAGTTGGGAGTTTGAAAAAAAAGTTGAAAGTTTATATGTGTAGAAAAGTTTTTGATATGATATGATGTGATGTAAAGTTGGAAATACGAGGAAACTAAACACGGCCAACATTGAACAGTTGGTCATTTTATCGTGCAGCTTTAACTGCCAAACAGAATACTCGCGCGCGGCCACAAACTTTTTGATTAACTTTTTAGCTAGCCAACCTTCCTGCAGGCTACCAGCAGGAATGTTCTTTCAGCTTAATTGTCACTCGTAGATGCTTCTTTGGCAAGGGTTAAATGCATGAGCTACAATTTGCTGGCATCTTAATTAGCCAAATAATTGGACAAGCTAGCATACTACTACTCCATCACCTCTTGCTGGTTGCTTCGTCGACTGTGTTGAATACAATCAAGAACTCATTTTTGCTGTGGGTTCAAGCCGCTGCCAATTTCAGATAAGCAACATACCACGTGATGTGCAGAAGACGAACCCTATGTTTTTCTTCATTTCTCTTGTTGATTAGCTTGCAAATTAAGGGGGTGTTTTAGCCCCTCTCTCAGAACCATAAGTCCCTAGGGGAGAGACTTATACTTTTATAAGAGGGACTAAAGTTTAGTCCCTATTCCCAAACACCCTCTTAATTTGCAAGTTTTGCAGCATAATGGGATAGCCTTTCACAGTTTCACTGCAGTCCTATGCATACATTGTGTATTATCTTTAATTTGTCTCTGGCCTGAAGATGCTCATTTTGTCAGATGATGAATGGCATGGAATGGATCTGAACTGAAATTGTGAATGCTTGGATGAAATCATTCAAAAGAAAACGAATGGCAAGATGAAAACTGAAGAAATGCGCTTGCAATTTGACCTTCTAGTTGTTACATCAGAAAAGTTGTGCTAATAATACGCCATGGCGGGTAGGCCCTTGTTTAGCTTAACCAGTTGATGTTCAGAGTGGAATTTATCAAGAAAAGGGTTCTCTCTCAACTTGGATTATGCGTTTTCTTAATTATGCTGGATGGACTGCTTTGAGTATGTATCACTTCATCTCGTCAATGGCTAATCGAGGCACGAAACTAATCATGATGGAGCAGGTGCTTGATTACTTGTTCTAAGAACCTTTTTACTGCATTATGCCTTTATCCTTGAGTCCCACCTGCAAAATTTGACCATGGCCATGCCACGCAAATCAGAAGGACAAAACTGCAGGCAGTAGCTTTTATTCTTGTTGATGGATCAGTTTGGAATCAAATTTGGTGTTTTCCTTAAGTCTCACCTGCTTCCTCCTAGGTAACTTGTTTTATTTTGTGATTTCAAACTCCATACTTGCACATGTTTTCTAGACTAGCTAAAATATTACTTAGTATAAGAGATAAAAAGCAAAAAATTATAAGTCTATATAGCATAGTTAATTAGATAATGTCATATCCAAAGCAAAAGCATTCACTTGTGGAGATATTATGGCCTACATGTCAACTTGTGGCATTGAAATCAGTCTCGAACATCATCGCTATTCAATAGGAGTAGAACCATTTAAAATAGTACTCCTATAGAAAATTAACTTGACAATCTGTCAGGTAACTATCAAGATTCAAGAGCACAGATGTTTTGGATAGAACTGTGAATTGATGTTCACAATTCACAAGGTTTCCATGAAAAGTACTCCGTACTAGGAACACAGCAGAGCATGTGCTGCCGGCTGGAATGCAATGTCACTGTTTGGTAGGCTCCAAAAGGGTACTGATGGCGTACCAACTGAACACTGGGCAAGAAAATGTTTGCATCGAACATACTCTCTCCGTAAAAAAAAAAAGACAAACCCTGGTTTCCATGTCCAACGTTTGACCGTCCGTCTTATTTAAAAAAATTATAAAAAAAATTAAAAAGACAAGTCACGCATAAAATATTAATCATGTTTTATCATCTAACAATAATAAAAATACGAATTATAAAAAAATTTCATATAAGACGGATAGTCAAAGTTGGACACGTAAACCCAGGGTTTGATTTTTTTTAGACAGAGGGAAAGTTGGACACGTAAACCCAGGGTTTGATTTTTTTTAGATAGAGGGAGTATATATGGCAGTTCGGTCAGATTTTAGGGGTGACGGTATGAAAACCAGTATATTGACTCTAGCCATACATATGATTAAAAGCTGTAACATTATATGTATATATATATATGTATATGTATATGTATATATATGTATATATATATATATATATGTATGTATGTGTGTGTGTTTTAGGGACTTAAAAAATCAATGATGATAAATAAACTATAATAAAAAAAATAAAAGACAACTCTATAATTAAGTTGTAGTATTTAAATTTTGAATATGACTATGAATATTAAAGAGTAAACAATGGAACTGAATATTACTTCACTCTAGTGTAAATGGTGGTTTCTTGTTTTCAAAGTCATACTCTAGCTATAATCTTATAATTTTTTTCTGCTGTGAGTGTGTTTAGTTTATGCCAAAATTGAAAGTTTGGTTGAAATTGAAACGATGTGACAGAAAAATTAAAAGTTTGTATGTGTAGGAAAGTTTTGATATGATGGAAAAGTTGGAAGTTCGAAGAAAAAAATTGAAACTAAACTCGGCCTATATCAAATATTAAACCTTACACCATCAAATCAAGTCTGGTGCAAACATATCACTGTTAAACCTTGCATCATCTTAGCCTAGATAAAGAACAAGTAAAATAGTGGGATCCAAATCCATCTGAAACAAAAAAAGGAGTTCTTTTTCATGGGATGCAATTACTCCACTTGAGCTAATCCTCCCTTTCAAACACAATTACATTTTGAAGGCAACTACTCCACTGTTCACTCCTCGTCCTCTTGTTTTTTTTTGGCTTCGATCCCTGTAACCGTACTGCACATCACGTCATCCATTTAAGAAACAGCTCACAAGAACTCGACAACAATTCATTTTTCTCACAGTAAAATCCGTACTACTTGGAGCAAGCAACGAATCCAATCCAAAACCCAAAAACATTTATTTAGAAATGCGTAGACTTTTTTCTTTTCTTTTTTCTGATGGCACGCTTAAATATAGAGAGACATGGAGGGAGAGCAGCGCACGCGTGAACGGGAAGCGAGAGAGAAGCATGGCCATCCACCATGTCTGCATCTGCATGGCCAAAAAGGGGAGGAAGAAGAAATGAGATGACAATGATGATGATGATGGTTTCATCACCCAACCCTCCCTTCAATCCAACTTCACCTCCACAAAAATCCTATCCATTATCCACCAAACACTCGAAAATTTCCATCTTTTCCAGTTAAAAATCAAAAATCCCCTATCCTTGTTTGCTTCCATTTCGTCGCGGATTTGGACCACGCTGCAACCAATCCCCATCCAGAACGATCCCAATCTCCGATGGGAAGATTCTAAATTTGCAATCCACCCAAGAACTCCACTACGAGAGCTTCCCCCCAATCATAACTCCCTCGCTCGCTGCATCCCCAGTTCCCCACCACGACGACCCAAGAAACGCCTCCTGAATTCGTCCCTACCCGCGCCAGATCGGAGCTCGTAGCAATAATCATCGGGAGAGAGAGATAAAGAGGAAGCAATGACGACGGAGGTGGCGCTCCTCCGTGGCCCGACCAACCTCGCTTCCCCCACAAGCTCCACCCTGCGCTATTTAGCCAATGGCGACAGCGATGTCTCGCTCCCAAGGAGAAGCAGCCGCGAGGAGGAGAGCCCTGCAGGACTCCAAGAGGAGGAGGAGGAGGAGGAGGAGGAGAGGTGGTCGTTCTTGGCGCTGCTGCTTGAGCTGCTGCGGAAGTCGCTGCTCCGGTGCAGTACGGTGCAGGAGGGCGGCGGCGAGTGCGGGATGGAGATTGGGTGGCCGACGGATGTGCAGCACGTGGCACACGTCACCTTCGACAGGTTCCATGGATTCCTCGGCCTCCCCGTGGAGCTCGAGCCCGAGGTTCCCCGCCGGGCTCCCAGTGCGAGGTATTCGGCTCGAAGCTCTGAACAATGTGGTTGTTGTTCTGAATCCAATGGTTTCTGAACATTCAGTTTCAGACTTTCAGTTGGAAGTCTATTTTTGTGGAAATGTGAATCCCTTTTCACTCCCGATTGCATTTTGGAGGTGTTTTGATATGAAGTGCTATAGGAAAATTTGTGTTTTGCTCAGTTATAAGAAAATAGAACTGTTGGTTGTTGAAGTTCAGTGTTTTGGTATGGCACATCTATTCGCATTGCAACCTCAAGGATGGGTTGGTTTGAAATTTCATATAAAAGCAGTTTTTTTCCCGTTGTTTTCTACTAGGTGGTATTAGATTCCTCTTGAATAATGTGAATTTCAGTTCTGTTGTGTTTTAAACTTTGTAACCTCACCTGAATTTGAACTGTATATTCTCATGATGAGTAGGTTTTCGCACCACCAGTCTGCAGAAATTGGTGGCATTGCATTTTCTTCATGTTTCATTGATTAATAATTAGTCAATCATGTTTCTCTATGGTCTGGTATTTGATATGGCCGCATAATTTTGCTGTAGTGTCTTACGTCATATAATTATGCCGGTCACCTTTTTATGATTCGGAAAATGGATTTCGCTTCCATATGAGCCTGATGAGGTCTGTATAATGAGGACTAGCTATAATTTGAAGCGTACATTTACGGAAATCATAATTGCCTATAAATTTGAATATTTGATACAGAAACAAGACAGTCATACATTTGAATTATTTTGATATTCTGCATTTGGGTAACAGTAGCTATTTTGTTCACTTGCTTAATTCTGGTAAAAGTATTTCATTCATGGTCCTCTAAATGCCAATCCTGTTTTTATTTGTAAGAAACCAAAAGAATCTTCAATATCATGTGTTAAAATATATGGGTTCTCAGAATTTTTTTTAAAAAAGCATGCCTTTTGTGAAGTTATTGTGGTATTTATATTTATCTCAGCTATATCACCTATTGGCTTTTTTTTCATGCAAATGCTTATGCCTGCTATGCAAAAATACTATTTATCAACTATTACTACCTTATATCACAGCATTGCATCTAGTGCTTTGGATGATGCCTTTATTGTTCAGGACTGTTTGTCATTGTCAAACTCATTTTGGATCACACTTTAGGAGCTTGAAAATAAAAGTTTTCTGGGTTGCGCTCCTTTCTGGCTTAAGTAAAGTGCATACGCATATTGTATATTATTTTATATCGGGAATTGCAGGACGTGAGCAATTAGTTTTAGGTTATCTATAAAGAATAGATAAAAACGGTTATCAGTTTCTACTTTATAGAAGGATGGGACTCTGGGAGCACGGTGCCTCCAAAAGAAGATAAAGTGGCACATACACCTATAATGCATCTTCAAACTGAATGTTTGCTGCTATATGATAAATGAAACTGCAGCATATGAGTTGTGGTCAGTTAACGGTTGGATAACTTCTGCAATGAGTAAAGTTTCTGAAATAACAAGAAAACATAATTTCCCAGGACAATTGAGCATCTGAGTTAGCATTTAGCAAACTAGTATATTTATTTCAGAACCAAAATAATAATGTGAATTTTGTTCACATATTTATACCGATGCCATGCTTTTAACCATGCAAAGATTTGCAGGAATCCTGGTATAACTTTTGTAAGAATTCAAAGTGTTCCTTTGCACCACCCGAACAGTTAAAAGACGGTTCATTACAATTTACAATATGCTTGAATTGATTCAAAAAAAAAAAAAGAAAGGAAAAAAATCTTTGATGCTGATGGCAATGTGCTTTCCTTTTCATATGGTGGTATCATATTATCCTACTTTTGCAAGATGCATGTGTTTGGCAATGACACTGTACTTTTGATAAATATACTCTAGAATTTAGTTCTTGTTCATGTTTACACCAGCTGTTGGTATTTGTCAGCTGATCAAAACTTAAAATGCAGTGCAAGTGTCTTTGGCGTTTCAACAGAATCAATGCAATGTTCCTACGATTCCAGAGGAAACAGTGTACCAACGATTCTCTTGATGATGCAAAGACGTCTTTATGAACAAGGCGGTCTTCGGGTGTGATTTTTAAGCATTTATAGTTACATCTTTTTAATCACTGGCTTGTAGCTTTGTTCTGACCAAATAATTCTTATCTTGTTTGTATTTTTGACGGAAATCTTATCTTGTTTGTAATTTGCAGGCAGAAGGTATTTTTCGTATAAATGCAGAGAATAGCCAGGAGGAGTTTGTGAGAGATCAGTTAAATAGTGGAATTGTGCCGGATGGCATTGATATTCACTGTTTGTCAGGTCTAATCAAAGTAAGCCTCTTTCTGTCATGTATCTTACGTGAATCTGTTGACTGCATTATCTTCATTGTCGCATATATTGTGTTAGGGCATTGCATGTTCTTCACTTGGGAACTTATTAATTAGCAGATGTGTTCATCTTCAGTTATAGAGTTTCATATTAACAGCTACCACCTACCAGAGAACCCACACTTTTGCTTTTGAAGGGAACTCAATCTTCTCCCTCCCTCTCTTTTTTCACACCAGATATATTTCCACAAGTTTTTTTTTTTTGGGTGCTATGTAGTAAGTTTCTGTTGTGAATTTGATTTGCTTATAGAAGCAGTTAAGGGGTGCAGTCAACTTATTGGAAGTTACTAGTTTTGTGTCCCTGAGAATTGTCAACTAGGAAACACACATATTCTATAGAGCGAAATAATTTTATAACACAAAATAAAAAATCTATAGGGATCTCATTCCATCTATTTGTCCTTTTCTGCCAGGCCTGGTTTAGGGAACTGCCGAGTGGGGTGCTGGATTCTATCCCACCTGAACAGGTGATGCAATGCCAATCTGAAGAGGATTGTGCTCGAGTCGCCAAATGCCTTCCACCAGCTGAAGCAGCTTTACTTGAGTGGGCAGTTAATTTAATGGCTGATGTTGTCCAAGAAGAACAGATAAACAAGATGAATGCTCGTAACATTGCTATGGTTTTTGCACCAAATATGACTCAGGTAATGCACTGTCCTAATAATAAACTTATGATTTTAAGTGTGGTCGATGCTTACTGTCATGCACATATGTAATGCAGATGTCAGATCCATTGACCGCACTGATGTATGCGGTGCAAGTGATGAATTTTCTCAAGATGCTAATACAGAAGACCCTCAAGGGTAGACAAGAGTCCAATCTGGAGGACACATCTCTGCCCCATAAGGACCCATCTGATGAAAGTGGACACCATAAACCCTGTCTCACACTTGAGTCTCTCCTCGAGGAAGAATCCAGGCGTCCCTCTTTCGTCGAAGAGGAGCCCATTCTGAACAGTCCCGCACATGGCACCGGCTACAATCCTATTGAGGTTAATCCTGTCCAAGGAAAAACTGCTGCTTCCATTGCACAGACAAGTGAAGTTCAGACGATCATAGAGGGCTCCAGTAGTTGCTCCCGACCTTCTCTGACTGATCCGCCTGCTACTGCTGATCCTGTCTGTGCTGAAGCTGCGAACTCGCTTCAACGAAAGGGAAGCCGAAGCCTGAATAGTAGGAGGACAAGAAAGGGCAAAGGGCAGTCTGGAACGAGTGCCACTTCCTCAGCTGAGAAATCAAAAGGCACGAGCATTGTAAGCCGGATAAACTCCAAGATTGAACGAATTGAAGCATGGAGGTGAAATCAATTGTTATTGCCCCCCTTATTGTCATGTAATCGATTACCCAATGTTTCCTTAAGACCGAGTTCGGTGTTCTTGCACATTTTTCAATTTTGTTATGCTTATTGTTTCTTGTTGGATCATGATCATGTTATTTTGATACGGCTAACTTATTTTGTCTTGTCTGTGAGTACATGAGGTTGTCTGTGAATGCAACAAAGAAATTTTGATTCCTTCGTACATAGTACATTTCTTTATTGCCAGGTGTATGGAAGTTCAGGAATGTTATATGCTGTGCTTATTCGCATTGCTCTTGCAATGAATTGTTTCGGATTGGCCAATCCTGTCCTATATTACTACGGGTCAAATTATTCTGATGAAATGTATCAGCTCCGCTGAATTCACATCATGTGTTACTTTCAGAGCTGCTCCTGTTCCTTTTGAAGTGAAAAGAACTTTCGGATTAATTGTCTATACTTTTATTCATTGAAAACCGCTTGTTCTTGCACTTTATTTCTCCTTTCCATTTGTTCAATCCATCCCATGAGTATATATTTTGCAAAGGAAGAAAAAAGTGAACAAGTTTAAGGGTAAAATACAGTTTTCCAACACTGAAGTGTCTGAACTGAGCTCTCATACATCGTATGCATGTCCTTTCATTGCATCAGAAAGCTTTATTCTATCTTCTCCCCTTCATTCTTTTTCATTTGCTGAATCTGTTCCAAGATTTTTTTTTCAGTTTTGCACAAAAAAGATTTTATTCCTTTTTGTATAAAACAGAGTAAAGTGCAAGAGCTTTGCCAATCAATCGATACGAAAGAATTCTACCTCCTCTCCTTCATTCCTTTTCGTTTCCTGAATCCTTTGCAAGATTTTTCGGTTTCCACAAAAGTGGCGAAGAACAAGTTGTCATTTCATCCAGGCAGCTAGGTGTGTTTCAGAAACAAAATTCAGACAATTAGGTGTAGTCAGGAAATACAGATTTTTTTCACCTTGCTTTCTCTGATTGCTCAGCTATAAATGGTAGAAATCTCCCTTTGGTGTTGTGACACTCACATCTTTATTCCCTGTCGGTAAATACTGTACTTCTTAGTTCTCGTTGACAAGTACACAGATGATCAGAGAACGAAAACCATCCTGCCGACCAGTTCTTGCAACAGGTGAAATCGGAATTTGTTCGGGCGGACAGAATGGAACACTGACCAAATCTTATCTGTATTTCTATCCTAACCTGTAGCCTGTCCAGGCTACACCAAAAGACACATCAAAAATCACCAAAACACTGACGAAATATTTCAGGCACAAATCAAGGCTACTATCTCAGGTACCTGAAAAATTCCCAGTCCTAAAATGTGAGCATGTCATGTATGACAGTACTAAGAGTTTTTTATTCTAAACACAAAACAAACGTAATCTTCAAATACATAAGCGCACGTACCATATGAACACACATAACCTTATTTTTATGAGCACCTCCAATAAACCAGACCAACATACGTTAAGATTGATGAAATTACCACATAACATCTCATTATCGGCGAGTGCATCATCTACAGTTAAAAGAATATTAGTTAGAGACTCGAATCCATATTGGTAGTTTCTGAACACTCGGTATTCATGCGACACTGACAGAGCAGTGTTGAAAGGAATGCAGAACTGATAATGCAAAATTACAGGCCTCATCAAATTGCATACATTTTTTTTTTCGAACGCGCAAAAGAATTGCACGTCAATATATTAACAGGAAAAGAGTTTTTGTTACACAAAGCAATCAGCCAGCTTATACCTAGGGGGAACTTGAAGGTAGGAACTCAAATTGCATACAGTATCAACTCCACTTGGGAGAAAGAAATATTCCATCCCACAACCACAGAAACCGCTGCATCTTTTCTGGGTTGGCCTCCCTCCTTTTCTATCACTATACATTTATTCTTTTCGATGATTTCTCTCACTATATATACACAAACTTGTTCACTCTGAAGGATAGCACAGAAAATTACCAGAGCTAAACTGTCTTGCACATCCTTTCACCCTGAGTGACGCAGTAATTTGGAGGTAAGTACATCACACACTCATTTTTCAATCACTTCAATTCTCTTTGTTTTTTTTCCTCGATAATACAAACACGGGGAAATTTCTTAAAATTTATACTAAAGTTAAACTATTTCGTGTGAAATTTCCTACTTCAAAGTTCAAACATGGCCTAATTAAGTGACATGATTTTTTTGGTGATAATTTTTACGGTGGTCTCTGCTGGTAGTATAAATATAACACAAATGCTCACTTTTCTTGCTTAGTTTTGCAGTGTAAAGTTTACTACTAGTACGCGTACTCCTCAAGAACACCTTGTTGGCCGGCGGCGACTACGCATGGCGGCGGACGGCGGCGCGCTGAAGCGGCTGTTCGAGAAGCCGTTGCCGGAGAACCCGACGCTGCTGGAGGCGCTGTCGGCGTGGAACCACACCCACCGCAAGAAGCTCGTCGACCCGGCGTCCTTCACCGAGATCTTCGGCGAGCTCCACTTCCAGGAGAAGCCGCCCGTCGTCGACTCCCTCGCTCGCGCCGCCGCCCGCCCCTCGCCGTCGCCGCCGCCTCCGCCCCCGCCACGCCGCACGGTGTCATGGCTCGACATCACCGACGCCGCCACCGCCGACAACGACAACGACAAGAGCAAGGATGACTCCTCGCTCGACGCCCTCCTCAAGCCGCCCAGGCCGGCGAGCGGCGGCGCCACCGTGAAGCGGAGCGCGAGCTTCTGCCTCAAGAGCTCGACGTCGCTGCTGCTCTGCACCGAGGGGCTCGGGTCGGAGAGCACCGTGGACGCCGACGACATGGTCAAGGACGGCGACGGCAGCGGCGCCGTCGTCGACAGCGGGATGGACGTGGACGACGACGCCAGCGACGTCGCCGCCGCCGTGGCGGGCGACGACGCCTTCGGCGCCGGAGGGAAGGAGAATCGGCCGCCGCCGCCGCCGCCGTCGTTCCCGCCGCCGATACGGTCGATCGGGCGCGGCGGGAAGCCGAGTGTGTGCTTCCGGTCGGTGCGCGCGGAGGGGAGGTTCGTGCTGATGGAGGTGGTCATCCCCGGGAAGGATCTCCTGCGGGCGACTCGCGAGGGCGGCCGCCTCAGGCTGCAGTTCTCCAACGCCGCCGCCGCCGCCGCCGCCGCCGTCGGCGTCATCGACGACGAGGAGATGCATGGACAAGAAGCAGCAGCATGCGTAGGCGGCGACACGTTCGCTTAATTAACTCCTATTATAATCTATTATTCTTGTGCTAACTAATTTGGTCAAGAAGCACTAATTAAACATACTTGTGATGCATATATATGATTTCATATACATACAATACTTTGTCAGGTCATAGGAACATGTCGCTCTGTACAATAAGAATGTACGATCTGACCTGAATATCAAAGCAGTGAAAGATCTAGAAAAAGTTTAAGAGGCTAGATAAATTTTGTTTTATCAAGTGTTTGCTATGAAATTTTCTTTCCAATTCATAAGGAACATTTCAATTCGATTGTGCGTCTGTCCATGGTTGCTGGGTGGTGGATCCGTATGATGTGTATTGTGTCTAAAAAAAAAGTAGAGTCTTCTATGTAAAAAATGGTGCGACTATTGTTGTGGAAATGTGTTTTTTTATATCACTAGTAAAATACTGGTGCGTTGCAGCGAGCTCTAATTATATTAGATGAGCTGATTAAAACTAAATCATTACACTCAATCTCTGATTAACGATGGTATGATTGTGTTGTAAGCATGAAGCAAATAGAGCTCCTTACTCTAGTACTTTGTTGATTAACAATGATGAGTACACAAGTCCCAAGATAGATGGTGGCTCCCACTTGTCAAATAGATCGGGGTGGCATAACCATTACCACTAGCATTTTTTCAAGATAGTATAGATATTACCCTTTTTTAATAATTATTTTTGGACTATCTTATACATCTATGAAGAAATTTTTCCAGAAAACATCAAATATAATTGTAGTATAATCAATATAAGTCATATAAGAGTGTTATAGCTTAGCGGGCTGGGGGAGATATGTGTGAAAGCAGCCTCCACATTGCACCATCCCGATGGTGCTTTGAATTGTTAGCCCATTTCCCATATGCACGAATCTCAATACACATCCAATAGTAAAAAATATCGACATATTTCCTTCTAAACTATTGTCGGCTGTATAGAAAAATCATTATTTTTTGTATATTGTTTTATAAATCAATTGCAGCACACTGGAATAATAAAAAGTAATTTACTGGTCCAAAAGTGCGTCCATTTCTATTTGAAAAAGTAAGAAAGAATATGTATCGTTTTTAATTAGAGGGGGGTATCAAAGTGAGTATAATGCCAACATCCAAGAATTCCGAATCTTGGTACGTTGGTGGGCTGTTGCCATTCCTCCGAAAAGAGGCATGTCCACTTGTCGGTGGAATACTTGCATGTCGAAATATCTATATGGGTGAATGTTCTACGTTTTTCAGAAAAAAATCCCAAGATTTCGAAACACGGTAGAAAATTAAAATTGTCGTACAATACATCTCACAAGAGCATATAAACATTATCCATGTTGGAATTGTTTCTTTCATTTCTGATGAATGAATGATTTTAATTTACGGCTACTCCTAAATAAATAACATAAACTCACAAATATTATTTTCATTTATTAACGAATCAATGATTTTACAGTTACTTATGAACATTATGAATAAACAATATGACGCACATATTGTTTATTTTTTCTATCATTTATAGATTTTGCGGCTACTCCTAAATAAACAATACAAACTCATGCATGGTCTCACATGATCTCTCTTATACATGCTCATTGATTGGCTCTTTTAACTTATTCCTATTTGTGGTCCACTCTACTCACACCAATGTAGGATTAGATTCCAAGACTTTTGAGTCGATGGTCATTGGTCAAGTTTCTTTCTTCAAAAAGACAAAGGCTAAAAGAAATCGAGGGGCAAGAATATATCATAAAAAAGACACCCTACTGGTGTGATCTTCAAATGGATTAAAGCAATGATCAATGCTACATGAAAGTCAGATTATTTACAAGTTTTCAAATGCCAACCTAGTCTATTTTATTGAGTTGTGATCCAAATTCATTTACACACGTATAAAGGCCAACTTCGGACGGAGTGAAGCGGAGGCTTGGATCGTTATCCTTTTAGGGTTTCACTTTTATATATACTTCTTGTAAGCTACCGTTCGGCGTTGTAACCTCACCCGATATAATAAAGAAATTTTGCTACACTGGTGGAGAAAGGGGCTTTACTCCCGGTTCGTAACCCCCTATAGTCCCGGTTTTCAAACCGGGACTACCAATCCAGGACTAAAGATCACTATCTTTAGTCCCGGGTGAAAAAACCGGGAGTAAAAATCCATTTTTAGTCCCGTTGGTGTTACCAACCGGGACTAAAGATAGAGCCTTTTTAGTCCCGGTTGGTAACACCAACCGGGACTAAAGATAGAGCTAGACTAGCTAGATCCGGTTGCTCCATTATTATTTTCTTTTCTTCATTATATTGATTTCACCCCATCCCCTTCCCAAAATCCCAAATAAATTATCCCCAAATCCTCAACTCCCCAAATCGATACATCACAGATACATCACAAATTTTACAAAATTCATCATAGATACATCACATTCACATCACACACAAATCAAATACACAGATCCGAATCACAAATTCTAAAAAGAAGAAGAAAAAAAAAGCCCGTTGCCACTGCCGCGCCGGCCGCCAGCCGCCGGCCGCCGGAGCGCCGCCCGCCGCGAGGCCGCCTGGCCCTTCGCCGCACCGCCCGCCACCGCACCGCCCAACGCCGCGCCGCCCCCAACCACCGCGCCACCCGGGCCGCAGCACCGCTCGGCCACCGCGCTGCCCGCGAGGCCGCCTGGGCCGCTGCGCCGCCCGGCCACCGCGCTGCCCGCGAGGCCGCCCGGGCCACCCCCCCTTCCCGCCCGCGAGGCCGCCCGGGCCTCCGCGCCGCCGGCCGCCAGGCCCTCCGCCCGCTGGCCGCCAGGCCCTCCGCCCGCCGGCGCTGGTAGAGGAGAAAGAGGAAAAGGAGGAGAGAAGTTAAAAGGAGAGGAGGAAGAAGAGGAAGAGATATGGAGGAGGAAGAGATAAGGCCAGGGAGGAGATAGAATATATTAACTGCTCCTCCTCCTCCTCGATCTGGTCTCGTACTCTTCGCCACCCATGTTGCGCATGCCGATCTTTTATTCCGGTTGGTGTTACCAACCGGGACTAAAGATAGATCTTTAGTCCCGGTTGGTAAAGATAATAGAGATCTTTAGTCCCGGTTAGTGTTATCTTTAGTCCCGGTTGGTAACACCAACCGGGACTAAAGATAAAAAAAAACTCTATCCTTTTGAACCGGGACTAAAGATATCTTTAGTCCCGGTTTTTATTGCAACCGGGACTATTGTGTATTTTGGCCGACCGACCAAAGATGGTTTCTCCACCAGTGCTAGCTAATGCTCGTGGTTTTTTCTCTCCTGCTTTAGGAGGGTTTTCCACGTTAAATCTCGTGTCTTCTATGATTGATCTATCGTTTTTATCGTTTATTTGCCGATTGTTTCCTAATATATTTTAATTGTAGCCATGGCTGTATCTAAAGAAAGAGATGAGATTGTTCGTTTGAAAAGAGGGTGATGAAATTATTCCCTTCTTTGGATTATAACCAAAACAATCTTAAATTTAAAGTTTGACTTTTAAGAACAATTTAAGTGTACCTTTTAATTGTCTTATTAGCGAGAAGGCATGGAAAGAAAACCAGAAAACAATAGGGAAAAAAACTTAAAGTAGGGCTCGTTCGGTTTGTAGGGTTTTCAAAATTAATATAGAAATAAAAAAAACCTTAGGAATATTATGGAAATATATGTGCAAACTTAAGAATTAAGAAAAACACATGAAACTTTCCATGGTTGTTCAGCAAGCTACTGAAAGGATTGAAAAGTGAAAACATTAGGTGGGGTGGATTTTTTCCATGTGTTATGTTTCCCCCCTAAAGGCCTTGTTATGTTTGGAGGGAATGGAAGGGAAATAATTTCATACCACAGTATGTGTGACAATCCCAACCTCTTAAATATTAACTGAACATGACCTAAAAGTGAAGGAATAGAACGGCCTCATCGTTTCGCATTATTCGGGGAATAAGCGAAACGACATATTTAAAAAAAATGTGAATAAAACTTTTATATACGTGTTCTTAACGATATAAAAGAAAATAATGAAATATAAACTTTGCTGAAAAACCTCAAAATCAACTTCAAATTTAAGATTAGAAATTACAAATTCTGTCTGATAAATATGCCTAAACAAGCCCAGATAGTTTTGGGCCTGAAAAGCCTTTCTTTTCTCAGGAAAGCACACAGCCCCAGTAAGCCCAAAAGCTTAGTTCTCCTCTTTTCCGGGTGGGCCCACCTACAGTTGATTCTCTTATCTTCCTCCTCGCGTTCGCGTCTTCTCTTCTCTTCGCTCCGCTCGCTCATCGGCAATGGAGGCCACGGCGCTCACGCTCTCCTCCCGCCCCGCCGCCGCCAGCCGCTCGCCGGCGAAGGGAACCTTCGCCTCCCTCCACCCCCGCCGCCGCTTCTCCGCGCACGCTGTCCACCTCCGCGCGGCCCAGAGCGCCTCCCTGCGCGCCCCCTCCCCGGTGCGTTGCTCCATTTCCTTTGGGGGAGAGCTCGTGTCGCGCGCCTCGTCTTCCGAGGAAGGTCGCATTGTTTCCCTAATACCATGTTGTGTGATTATTTATCATGGGGGGTTTTGCAGGGGGCGAGGAGGAGACGGAGGAGGGGGAGCGGGCTGGTGGTGCGGGCGGAGATGTTCGGGCAGCTCACCACCGGCCTGGAGTCCGCCTGGAACAAGCTGCGTGGCGTCGGTGAGTGACCCTGCTCCTTTTGATTCTCTCGTATGATGATGCTCTCTTCAAGAAAATTTCGTGTTAATACATTTAGAGTAAATTGCGTTTAGGGCCACATTTTGTTACCAAAGATTCATTTTGGACTAACCTTTAACACATTTTTTCACTTTGGGCTAGGTTACTTTACCTTTCTTTCACTTTGGACCACTCCATAAACTTTTTAGGAATATATAAATAACATTTCCAACTTTAAACACATCAGCAACCCGTAAACCGGTAATCTTTTCCAACTTACACGGACAATTCTTTACAACATTATAGAGTAGATGCAGCTACAGAAAATGACTTGGGGTGGTCCAAAGTGCACCAAAGGTAATCTTACCTAATCCAAAGTGAAAATATAGGTTAGAGGATAGTCCAAAGTGAAACTTTGGTAACAAAAGGTGGACCAAAGTGCAATTAACTCATACATTTATTACTTTCTCCATTTCACAATGTAAGACTTTCTAGCATTGTCCACGTTCATATAGATGCTAATGAATATAGACAAGTCTTGCATTGTGAAACGGATGGAGTACTTAATTATTCAGTACTTAATTGTTCATATGCACACTAGTATTATTCAGTACTCACTCACAAGAATTAATGCGATCTCTTCTTACTTTAGATGTACTAACAAAGGAGAATATCGTTGAGCCAATGCGGGATATAAGAAGAGCACTTCTGGAAGCTGATGTAAGTGTGCAATGTGTTAACTACAGGTTTGCATTTTCAGTATGGTTTCATTTTGCACCTGAATTAATAGTCCTAATGCAGCTCCTGCTTTCTGCAGGTTAGTTTGCCTGTAGTGAGAAGATTTGTTTCGTCTATAAGTGAAAAGGCTCTGGGTTCTGATCTTATAAGAGGAGTCCGACCGGAACAGCAATTGGTGAAGGTATGTCATGCTGTTCAGAATCTGACAGAGGGGGTGGATTCTAACAGACCGTTTTTGTTTGGGGTGAAACTTTTATAAAAAATGAAGGTTTTATCAATATTTGATCTTGATGTTATCTAAAACAAAGTATTCGTATTCAAGATCGTTTTATCTCAGGAAGAATAATGAAAAGCATTGGCACAAGCAAAACCATAACATGCGTACAAATTTCTCCCTAGAATGTTCAGTTATTAATTGTAGTTTGTGCTAGATGAACATGGTGACTATCTTCTTAGACTAATTTATGTGCTTTTAGCACAGGACAAATAACCTACTCGGTGGTGCAGATTGTGCATGATGAACTTGTAAAACTGATGGGTGGAGAAGTATCAGATCTGGTATTTGCAAAAAGTGGCCCCACAGTAATCTTACTGGCAGGCCTGCAAGGTGTTGGGAAGACTACTGTTTGCGCAAAGCTTGCATTTTACCTGAAGAAATTGGTACATTCCTCAGCTTTCTAGTTCAAGCATCTAGTAGGATATATATTCTGAACAACCTATAGATACTTATGCCAGAGTTAGGTGACAGGGAAAGAGTTGTATGCTGGTCGCTGCAGATGTTTACAGGCCTGCAGCCATTGATCAACTCACTATACTTGGTGAACAGGTACTTGATGAACCCTTAACTACTACAATGAGCTGCCTGTTTGACATATAAGAATTGTGCATAGCAGCTGTATAACATGTACCACAGTCCCCCAGATCGTTCTGATACTTAAAGAAGAGTCAAACCCATCATGCCACAATTTTCTTTTGAATGGGCACTACTATAGTTTGTCCTGACTCCTGAGGTGGGAACGTTTTGGGCTTTATCAGGTCGGTGTACCAGTTTACTCAGAAGGAACAGAAGCCAAACCTGCACAAATAACCAAGAATGCCGTGGAAGAGGCCAAAAGAAAGAATATTGATGCCATTGTAATGGATACTGCTGGAAGACTGCAGGTCAGTCTTCTGTAGTTCTGTGCATTGCCTGCTCGTTTTTCAGTTGATAGCTTGACATGTCACTACCTTGTACAGAATTTTGATCTACCTAGTTCTAAGCTACTATATATTTACACAAAATAGCAATACAATTGTTTCAGTTCACATTAACAGAACTTCCTATGATTTAACTAGCATCTTTATCTCATTGCTATGCCATTCAGATTGACAAATCAATGATGGTTGAATTGAAAGAAGTGAAGAAGGCAGTTAATCCTACGGAAGTTCTGCTTGTTGTTGATGCTATGACTGGACAGGAAGCTGCAGGTATGCAACTGTTCCACTTGCTATTTAAGTCCCTCTTTTTGCTACTAAAGGCCAACACTATTTGTTCGTATAGCAGAAATGCAACGAACAACCAGAATTTTTTCAACGGTTCTCAAATTCTACTATATGACAAATTCTTACAGCGCGACATGTTCTATCTGCTATATTTATACGAGCTTAAGAAGTATTATTGTTTGATAGAGTTGCAACAGCCACTTACAATACTTCTCTGAGATGCAGCATTGGTCACCACCTTCAATATTGAGATTGGTATCACTGGTGCTATATTGACTAAACTGGATGGTGATTCGAGGGGTGGAGCAGCACTAAGTGTTAAAGAGGTCCTTATTTGCCAGAAAACTTTCCTACCATCATATCTACAAATGCTTCTGCCACTTTTATATTTTTGCTTTGAAGTTACTCTGCATCTATGTTGGTCAAAACTGCAAATTCCTATTGTCCACATGCTTCTTTCATCAATTGACAATTTACTGCAAATCTCCGCACTAGTCTTCTCACTTTTATGCTGTATTTATATAAAAAAAATCTAGTGTTTATCATCTGGCTACCTACTTGAATGTATATACGGTCAACATTAAATCGTTCGTAGTAAGCTGTGTTTGCATGCTTGCTGCTTTGCCCTTCAACGAATATTAATGCTTAACGGACCATGCAGGTGTCTGGAAAGCCCATCAAGTTTGTAGGGCGTGGAGAACGAATGGAGGACCTTGAGCTTTTTTATCCTGACCGTATGGCACAACGTGTTTTGGGAATGGGCGATGTACTTTCATTTGTTGAAAAAGCACAAGAAGTCGTAAGTAGCTTCCTGTAAAATCCCCCCTCAATTTCTTGTCCTAATCAGTAAGGTGATGATGCTATGGTGTTTATATGATGTTGCACATAGATGCGTCAAGAAGATGCTGTAGAATTACAGAAGAAGATCATGAGTGCAAAATTCGACTTCAATGACTTCCTAAAGCAATCACAGAATGTTGCAAAAATGGGTTCCATGAGCCGTGTAGTTGGAATGATTCCAGGCATGAACAAGGTACATGAATCTGAGGAATTCATTTATTCTTTCAAGTCTGACAATATCCCACTTCATTATGTTTACATTTCAAATGAAAAATGGCAGAACTTGATATCAGTTCTGATTCTAAATAGGTTACTCCTGCACAAATTCGAGAAGCCGAGAAAAGACTTGCATTTGTGGAGTCTATGATCAATGCAATGACTGCCGGTATGTTACTCGTGATTCTAGGACTGTTGCTAATTGCTATACAACCAAATGAAGCTTACTACGTTGTTTCCATGGGTAATAGACCTAGACACCTAATTGCATGTATTCTGGCATGAGCAGAGGAAAGGGAAAAGCCAGAATTACTGGCTGAATCACGTGACAGGAGGATAAGAGTGGCTGAAGAGTCCGGAAAGAGTGAACAAGAGGTTCAGTTGTAATTTCTGTCTTCTCTTTGTTAAAAAACAATCACAATATTTTTTGCTCATTCCAGTTACCATGGAGCTGACGCGTGCACACGCACACACACATTGCCGTTTTTCACTATCAGGTGAGCCAGTTGGTTGCCCAGCTTTTCCAAATGCGTGCTCAGATGCAGAAGCTGATGGGTGTGATGACCGGACAAGAAGCACTTCCAGGCATGGGGAATCTCATGGAATCTCTTAACGCCGATGAGAAGGTGATAATCTAACAATGCTTCGGGTGGTGTGGGTGATTTGGTTCACTACAGTTTGGCTCGGTTACTTACGGTTGCCTGTATTTGTTGTGCATCATGATCATTCAGGCACCTCCTGGCACTGCACGGCGGAAGAGGAGGCACAGCAAGACGAGGCAGAGGGAGCTGGATGCAGTCCCTAGTTCTTGAGCTGGTGAGCGTTGTAGTTCAGAGTTACTGCTCTTTTGCTTCAGAGACCCGGATCTGAGAAAAAAGAGATGAAAAAAAAATGTTGTCTTGCTACCTTTTTTAGTTTGTACGTAGGAGATCTGCAGGAAGTTCATAGGAAACAGTAATTTCCTACCAAATTGTAATGTTACTTAGCCAGTCCTACTCAGCAATGCAATCGGTTCACTCGAATGCTCGGACTTTTTACATTACATTAATCATGAATGTATATGTTGTAGAAGGATCAGGTTCATTTCAAAACTTCACCATCCATGCCCATTCGAACTCAAGAATTTTCTGATTCATGCGGAAAATCGAAAATGTACTGACTGTGTTGGGATTACCATACCCAGAAAAACAAAAGCAAAGTCCTAAATTAAAAAAAAAAGTTGAAGGGGAAAACATTGAAGTGTAAATAGGCCCATATGTGGGCCCAACATCGGCAAGCCCGAAAGCCCAATAGGGCCCATATTCAACAATCGCCTCTCTCTCTTATCCTCCCCGTTGGTTCCCTCCCCTCCGCAGAACGCCACCAAAAATGGAGGCCACCAGTAGTACTACACTAGCGCTCTCCTCGCCGCCCACCGCCGCCGCCCGCCGCTCGCCGGCGAAGGCGATCGTCGCCTCCCACCACCTGCGCCACTCCTCCGTCCCCGCCCTTCACCTCCGCGCGGTCCCCGGCCCCTCCTTCCGCGCCCTCCCCTCACCCGGCTTCCCGGTCCCTCCCAACTGCTAGTTTCTTGGTTTCTTCAATTCTTCCGCCCCGGAGAAATTTCGCTTTTGCTGATTTGTCTTGGATGCGTTCAGGGATGGAGGAGGAAGAGGGGAAGCGGGCTGGTTGTGCGGGCAGAGATGTTTGGGCAGCTCACGACCGGGCTGGAGTCCGCGTGGAACAAGCTGCGGGGAACAGGTGAGTTTCTTTTTGTTTTTGACGCAATTTTTCTTCATGTAAGTTGTAAATTTGTTGTCAATGAGATGAATGAATCAAGGAGATGTCTTTATTGGTTCAAGATCAACTGACGAAGGACAACATCGCTGAACCAATGCGGGATATCAGAAGAGCACTTTTGGAGGCAGATGTATGTGGTGTCATTCTTTACATGGTTTTGTTACATTTTCTCGATCTAATTCACTACCTACTTTGCAGGTGAGTTTGCCGGTAGTGAGAAGTTTTATTGAGTCCGTTACTGAAAAAGCTGTAGGCACTGATGTGATTCGAGGTGTCAAGCCTGAGCAACAGCTGGTGAAGGTATACTAAACAATGACATTATGGCTCTGGATAGTTTTAGGCTTAATTTTCTTCATTTAAGTCTGTGTTAATCTACTAGATATTAGTGCATGTTGTGGTATAAGTTCAGCATGCATTGTTTTCACTTCAGAGAAACAAGAGTCAGATATATTACTGTGTAATTCTAGCACCGGTTGGACTAACGTAAAAAAAACGATGCAGGTTGTGAATGATGAACTTGTACAGTTGATGGGTGGGGAGGTATCAGATTTGGTGTTTGCAAAAACTGCCCCAACAGTTATCCTATTGGCGGGTCTACAAGGTGTTGGGAAAACTACTGTTTGTGCAAAGCTTGCCTATTATCTAAAGAAAATGGTGCCTTCCTTAGTCCTCTACTTTAAGCATACTCTAAGATTCCTAGACTATTGAATGCTTATAGACCAGTCTCAGGTTACAGGGGAAGAGTTGCATGCTGATTGCTGCGGATGTCTACAGGCCTGCTGCCATTGATCAACTCACTATTCTGGGGAAACAGGTATTCTGAAGACAACACTCTTTCCAGGGTAGTATTGTCTTGGAAACCTTTTCTAGCTACTAATTTTAACTCAAACACAAAAATTCAAATTTGCCGCACTCTGCATATTTTACCTGTTTGAAGTTAAAATGACAGCTTCTTTTAAGTGTATTGCTGTGATGCGCTTTTTAATGAAATACATTTCAACTTTCATAGGTTGGGGTTCCAGTTTACTCTGAAGGAACTGAAGCTAAACCTTCACAAATTGCCAAGAATGGCATAAAGGAGGCAAAAAGCAAGAAAACTGACGTAATCATAGTGGATACTGCTGGAAGGCTGCAGGTCATTCTTATTTTTTCTTTAATTTTTTCCTCTTGTTTCAGCTATGATTCTAAAAGAACATGGATCTGTTTTTGCTAGTTTTTACCAGTTGACATCTCACATAAAAATATCTATAATGTCAGATCTTGATCATCTTGAACTTTAAAATATTAGTTATGCCTTATGTTCATGTATGTGATTAAATTGCAATAGTTTACACTTTACACTTCTATGTAGTTGCAAATTTTTGTTTTATCTTTGTTTCAAACTTAACATAGTACTTCCACTTGTAAAAGATCATCTGATTAGTCCTTCTATGGTTAGGTAGATAAAGCCATGATGAGTGAGTTGAAAGAGGTAAAAAGGGCAGTAAATCCTACAGAAGTTCTACTTGTGGTGGATGCCATGACTGGACAAGAAGCTGCATGTACGTAGCTACCACTCATTGTTCTTCCAGGGGTATAGGGATCTAGTAAATACTGTTCCCATATTATTTTTGCCTCACGTACAAGTTTTTGTTCCAAGTATCAATATCATGTTCATTTTATTGCTTGCTCCTCATGATAATCAAATATTGAACTCGTTATCATCTGCTATAGTTGCCCTACGACTTACCCGCATTTCTTTTCTGATATGGCCAGCATTGGTTAGCACCTTCAATGTTGAGATTGGTATTACTGGTGCTATACTGACAAAACTGGATGGTGATTCCAGAGGTGGAGCAGCACTAAGTATCAAAGAGGTCTGTTGAATGTGAAAAACAAATGTCCATCATTTTGTTTTTCCATCTAATTATTAGTTCAGAGTTCTTTATTTTCTCGAACAAGTTCAGAGTTCTTTGTGAAATAATAAAAACCAATTCTGTCCTGAACAATGTATTAATTCTGCTAAGAAGGCGCAACAATTACTGTTTCCGGTTCATTTTGTTGGATTCCACTTCCTAGATTCCTCGCTTACTGAAAAAAAAGTTTGGTTGTGTGAGTTCAACTGGTCCTGACAAATTTGTTGTCTAATAAAAAATGTCCATAATAGGGTTATATGTTATTTGACTTTGTATCTGTGACTCTTCCAATTGTATCTTTACATGTTATTCTGGTACTTTTGTCACACCTACATTTCTCAGCAATTTTACTTTGTGTTCCCTTGGCTGGTAGCATATAATAAATATGAAGAAATGATGAATCTGTAGGTATCTGGAAAGCCCATCAAGTTTGTAGGGCGAGGAGAACGCATGGAAGATCTTGAGCCTTTCTATCCTGATCGTATGGCACAACGAATCTTGGGAATGGGAGATGTACTTTCATTTGTTGAAAAGGCACAGGAAGTGGTAGGCAGGCTTCTGTGAAATATTCCTTTCTTTTTTTACTTTAATTAAAGAACAATTTGATACTCATAGTGTGTAATCTACTGGTACAAGTAGATGCGTCAAGAAGATGCTGAGGAATTACAGAAGAAGATCCTGAGTGCAAAATTTAACTTCAATGACTTCTTGAAGCAAACACAAGCTATCGCACAAATGGGTTCATTTAGTCGTATAATTGGCATGATTCCAGGCATGAACAAGGTGCAAACATGAACTTGTTGAACTCATTGGCTCCTTTATCACTTTACTTTGGAACTAATCTTCACACTATGGTACACTGGCGCTTATGTTTCAGCTTCATACTTGATGTTATTAAGACCATAGCTTTTCCGTGTTTTGAATAGGTTACCCCTGCTCAAATTCGTGAAGCGGAGAAAAACCTTAAATTTATGGAGTCCATGATCAACGTAATGACCCCTGGTATGTATAGTCTACCAATGACAGGCATCTTGAAGATATCCTGTTGCTTGTTCCTCCCATTCTCTTGCAATATTAGTGTAGTGTTCCAAATGTAACTGATATTTTTGAAAATCTGAATCCATCATCTAATTAGTGTTTCAGCTTGGACTGTATCAAGCGATCCAGGCCTGCCACTGAAATAACACCTTGATGCTAATGGCGTAGAACATAATAGTGATGGATCTTTGTTACATGAATATTGTCTTGATAATGTTAATCGTGCCTTTGTGCAGAGGAAAGGGAAAGACCAGAGCTACTTGCTGAATCACGCGAGAGGAGGATAAGAGTGGCCAAGGAATCCGGAAAAAACGAACGACAGGTTCAATTCTTAACCTTTTCTCTTTTTTTAATCTCATCAGCATTTCCATATCTGTCTGCGCTACTACAAACCAAACTGAACCCCATGGACGTCAATTGACTGCCCCCTGCACTACTAGGTGAGCCAATTGGTTGCGCAGCTCTTCCGAATGCGTGCTCAAATGCAGAAAATGATGGGTGCTATGCAAGGGCAAGACACCCCTGATATGGAAGGCCTCATGGATTCCATCAAGGCAGAAGAGCAGGTAAAGGCACCTCCTCTATCACAGATTCCAACAAGTTCTGCTGCTTTTTTTTTTCTCAGAACAATTACTTGGGCCTTGGGGCATGTTCATTTGTTCTTCTGTTGATGAAATATGTGTTTGCGATACTGTATTTTACTCAGGCTGCCGCTGGTACTGGAAAGCGAAGGAGAAAGTATGGCAATCTGAGGCGGCGAGACCTGGATGCAATGCGCGGTTTCCGTCGACGATGAATGTTCATTGGCTCTTTCTGAACCAAAGTGTTTTGATGCCAGTTACATGTATAGGAAGCGAGAATTTGGATGCTTTTGGGGAGCTACTGGTTTGCTGTGATCACCATGTAGTTTCTGTTGTAATTTTTTTCTTTTTTTGAAAAGACGTACTAGTATATCGGTATATGTTGTATTTTTGGCCATCAATTTAGCTCATAAGTTGTGTTCCTTGCCCATTTTTTGTGATCTCTAGCTGAAACTCGCAAATGGTGGCAAAGTGGAACATACAAACTGCTCTCCATTTCAATTTATAATAATAATTTTTCTATATAAATACCAGCGAGATGGGAGCAATTCAGTGTTTTTTTTCTATTTTCCTTTCAGAAAATACAGGCTTTGTTTCCCTTCAGAAAATACATGGCTTTGTCGTCAAAGAGCGCCTTCAATGAACTGATACGCCCTCAAGATTTCCGCCTTTAGTGGCCATCTACATGCAACGCGAGCCGCGAGATCTCACGATCCGACGGCTGCAAATGACTCTCCCCTTCCTATATAAAGCCTCGTTCCATCCAGGGTTCCAGACCCAAACGCCTCACCACCTGTTTGCCGCCGCCGCCACCGCCACTTCGCCGGAACCCTAAACCAGCCCGGCCTCCTCCCATGGTGAGAATCAACATTTCCTCCACCTCACCTATGAAGATTTCGCCATATTGGTTAGTAATGGGTGCTTGTTTTTTTCTCTGTGATGTGATGTGCAGGCGCCGAAGAAGGACAAGGCCCCGCCGCCGTCCTCGAAGCCGGCCAAGTCCGGCGGAGGCAAGCAGAAGAAGAAGGTCATCCAGATCCCCTGTGAATTACTGCTTGTTTCGATTCGTCTCAAACGCTCACTTGTTTTGTCCTTTTTGGATCTGTGTGTTGGGGATGTGGTGCGTAATTGCAGAAGTGGAGCAAGGGGAAGCAGAAGGAGAAGGTGAACAACTCGGTGCTGTTCGACAAGGCCACCTACGACAAGCTTCTCTCCGAGGTGCCCAAGTACAAGCAGATCACCCCCTCCGTCCTCTCCGAGAGGCTCAGGGTATGTATCCCCCCTTTGTCTTCCTCTCCATGATTCTGTAGCAGTATCTGTAACAATTTGGAATCGAGTCATTGGAAGTTCGTAAACCATGTTGTCTCTGAATTGCTTCACAGGCTCACAATGCGATGATTATATTCCTTCTTTTTTTTCCTTTTAGAAGGGGTTAATTGGATTTATGCTATTAAGAATTTGCCTGTTTTGAAAAAAAAAATGTCATTACAATTCGTCTAGTTGGAACGATGCCATTAAAATCAGAAATACAATTAGGACAATATCTCATCCTTCACCCTTAGAATGGGATAGTGTAATGAGACAATCTCTGTCTCTCATATATCACCTTTTCACACACCCTTTCCTCATAGCCCTGTCGTCTACATGAGCCCCAATGTCACATCGTGCACCTTTATCGCATGCGGTGGAGTCACATGCCCCATCTTGTGCCAGAACAGCATGGCATGCAGTAGTATGACTAATAGTACTAGTCCCATGCAGTAGTACTACTACTAAGTCACTCTCACTCACCCTACACGAGGACTACTAGTGTGTATTTCCTTCATCCCAAAATGAAAAAATCTAGTACATTATGTGTTTGACATATCCTGTACTAGATTTGTTTATTTTGGGACGGAGGGAGTATCCAGTAGTAGTAGCAGCAACTGTTTGAATCATGAAAAAAGTGAAATTAATGTCATGACATAAAGGATAAGATAGTAAAAAATAATTGCTATCTTTGTTTCGATTAGTTTTCTATTACATTAGAGTTCCAACAATCACAGGTATAGCAACTACTATATGATATTCATATACTTGTAGGTATCAGTTCCGGTACTCAACTATAAAGTTTGGTACCTACGAGAAAATTGGCATTTTGTGATTGTCAAAAGTGGGTATCGTTGGAATTTCATTCCACAAATTGGTTTCGCTAAAATACCACTATCAAACGGGGGCAATACACTAGAATGCTATTTCTTCTTAATTGAATGAGGTGTGCCTTGTTTTTCTTGACGACCTGACCCAAATACCCCTCTGGATTCTTTTCCTATCTCCTCTCTCTCTCTCTCTCTCTCTCTCTCTCTCTGACTTGTTCACTTTTTAGCCATCATCAACGAACCGCCGGCACCCTTCTTCCTTGTTGTTCCTCTCCGTGCTTCCATCCCAACACATGGCTAACGATTGACGAAACAGTGTGCAAATCCAAGCCGTGCAAAGGATTTGCTTGAGGTTGGAGGTGACTAGGAGGCCACATGAGAAGGAGTTTGATGCTAGAGGTGACGAGGAGAAAGAACACAATGACGACGATGACTGTGAGCATCGTGTCTCATCAATGTGGGTGTGGCTTCTATGATGGCCCCGCCGCCATGAAGCCTAGAATTGTCCTCGTGACGTTGCTCACTTGCTATGGCTTCGCCAATGGCGACTGCTATAGGCTCCTCTTTGCTCGTGTCGCTCACTCCCACAACTCTCCGGCCTCCCTCTCCATCTCCATCGCAAGCCATGTCTTGGTCATGAAGCCTCATCCCTAGCCAATCCGCTTGGCCACCATCGGTTCTCTCAGCGCCGCTCACGACCATCGGTGTCTAATCCTTCCACAACCACTCATTGTGCCGTCTAAGGAGGAATCCAATATTTGGTACGTGAGGGAGGAGACGTAATGAGGACATCACTAACTTGGATATGATCATGGCTACATTATTTATTCATCAACCAAAGGTGCATGTTTTCTATGTTTTCTATGTAAGATTTACGTGTTACAACGAATCTGGACAGGCTTATGTCCAGATTTGTTGTATGTGTCATATCCCACCAAAATCCCTTATATTTAGGGATGGAGGGAGTTTATATTTGAACAAACATTATTGCACCATGAGTTTTGTGTCTTCCCGTTTGTAAAAATATTTGCGTAGGTAAAGGAGAGTGGGCTCACTAAGTGCTTGGATAATCGAAGTTGATTGGGGACCAAACTAAGATCTTACCCAAGTCTACTACTACATCACAACATCACTTTTGGTCCATAGAAAGCAAGAGATGAAGTTCTGCATGTTTTGGATTTGGATTTGGGCTTCCTGTCAGTATCAACTTCAAATAAACCTAGTCGTTTATCCAAAAAGATTCCTGAGGCCCATGAGTACTTGTTGGAAAGCTTATGGAGTTTACTTTGATATGGTTCTGGTCCCATGTCGAAATTCCTTCCGAACTGTCGGGAATCTGTAAAACAAACCACATACCTTATCCAGTCCAAGTCTGATTTGGGTCTTGGACCTTGTAATTGTGTCGTGGGCTAAGCCCAAGGGGGTGGTGCAGGTTTTGCTTAGATTATTTCATAGTTCGGTTTGTAGAATACCATCTTCGAGTTCTTGATTAATCACTCATCTGCAATTGATGGCAACAGGATGCTCGATCTTCCATCAGGTAAAGATAACTCTTGATTTGGCGAAAACTTGTCACACATGATTTGACTTTCGATCAACACGATCTAAACTTGCAATTTCAGCACCATGTCTTTTCTAGTTACCAACCGTGCCGAAATCTGATTGGCCTTCACTGAGAAGGCTAATCCTTGCATGCGAATCGAAGAATACAAGCAAGAAAAAGGTAGATTGTAGCTCAATTGCAGATGAATGATTTAGCACTCGAAGTTGGGGTTCTACAAACCGAACTAGTGGTGAAATTGCAATGGTAGAAATAATCTAACCGAAACTTGACTCTAAACTATGGCGACTACTCAACAAATATGATTAAGGACGTCCTAAGATTAGCCCTAGGGCGCCACCTCCTTGGGTTTAGCCCACGACACAATTACAAGTTTCAAGGCCCAAATCAAACTCGGGCTGGATGAGGCACGTGGCTTGTTTTGCAGATTCCCGATAGCTTAGTAGGAATTTTGACGTGGGACCAAAAACCATCTAAAAGTAGGCTCTATAAGCTTTCCAATAAGTACTCGAGCCCCAAGATTCCTTCTAGATCAGTGGCTAGGTTCGTTTGAAGTTGATGTCATATGTCCCGAATCTAAATCCAAAACGTGCAGAACTTTATCTCTTGCCTTCTAAGGATCAGAAGTGACGTGGTGATGTAGAGGTAGACTTGGGGGAAGATCTCGGTTTGGTCTTCAATCAACTTCTTTGATCATCAAGTACTTCGTGAGCCCGCTCTTCTTTACTTCACCCACACAGGTAATTTTTTGGAAATGAGAATATACAAAACGCATGGTGCAGTAACGTTTGTTCAAACATATAATGTGTAAATCTAATACAGAACATATGCACCTTTAGCTTGATGTGTAACATAAGCATAGCTATATCCGAGCCAATGATGTCCTCACCAAGACGAAGATAATGACGAGATTTGAGGTGGATGCACCCTAGTCACTTCGTCTTCATCTCGCTCATCGCCGATCCCATCGAGGTCCACACAGCAAAGGCCACCATGAGCTCATGCACCGCTTTCCTCGTCAGGCTAGCAGCGGTAGCGGTGTGCTGTGGTGCTAACGCGGCAGATGTGCAGGTGGTGAGCTGACCCAAGGTGGATCTATCCCCTTCTCGTCTCTTCTGTTCCTCAATAGGAGAGCCCAAGGGCATTTATGTCCATTTGCTATGTAAAAAAAATGCAAAAACTGACCAAAAGGGAAGAAAAAACATTCTAGCGTGTTGCCTATATTTGAGAGTGGTATTTTATCGAAACCCATTTGCGGGATGGCATTCCAGTGTAACCCACTTTTGACAATGACATCTCGGTACCTACAGGAATCAGAGTTGGTACGTGCCAGACTTGATACCTGTATATTAGGTTTGATGCTTATGCATACCAGATTATCGTCATTAAGACCCTAACATGGTGTATATATTTTAGTATTGACTATAACTTAATGTGACATTCATATATCATCTAGGTAATACACTATCCAAACAAACAACTTTGGGGATGAATGTGGACAAATATTTGTCTATATTCATCCCTCAAAAGTTGATTCTTTTTTAAAGAGGACAGAAATTTCTTGAGACAAATAATATTTTGTTGGGTTTATCATCAATTGATGAAGTCTATCGCTTTGGGTTTTGGTTTTGTTGGGATGGATGCAAGGTGTTGAGTTTGGATCCGACGACAGGCGGTAGCGGGGCTTGGGAACGACGCTTGGGGATCGAGAGGGATGGGAGGAAGAGTGGAGAGGATAGAGGTAGAAGATAAGGGGCAATTTAGTCCAAAATAAAATCTCAGTGCATCCAAGGGGTATGTAGTGGCATATCTCCGATTTCAACAGAATTATAATGGCATCATTCCAATTAGACATTGTAATAGCATTTTTTGAAATGGGCAAATTTATGATGGCATGGATCCAATTATCCATTTTAGGAGCTCAGTGGTAGACTTTGTTAGGAATGTATGGTGGATCTTGGCAGTTTCGTTGTTCAGATGTGTAGGTTAATAGTATTATTGTAGTACAACTGGCAACTAGTATACCAACACTATATTGTTTAGAGGTTGGCATATTTGTCCTGCAAGATATCATGACCTGTGCTATATCAGAATTCACATGATCATAGGTAAGTGAGTTTATTTGCAGAATCAATTGGTATTTTTTTTGTAAATTTGACAGTGGAACTGATCTAAGTGATAAAAATGTCTAATCAGATAGCAGGAAAAACACTTAAACCCTCTTCTTTGTATTAGAAACTACAAGATAGTATAGGACATTTGATTCTTTTTCACTCTTAAATTTCGTAATATAATAGGATGCCAGCGCATATAGCGTGTTGTTTGAAGCGAAAGTGGCATATTGTTTTTTTTATGTGATCTACATTCTTACATTATTTTTTATTTACTTCACAGCAATCTTTTACACCTGTTGCATCTTTCTTTTCTTGTGGATTACTTCTACCTGAAATTGATGTACACTGCTCTGTACTTTACGTTCCACGGCTTTCTTCCTCGGATCATCTTTTTGCTCTTTCATGACTGCAAAATGAGAATAAAGCTGTTGTTAAAATTGTTTGATTAGACAATTAAGTTTAAAAGTTGTCATGCTACTTCTTCAATTTGACGTAGTTTGTTTATCAGTAGAATAAACTGCTATTCAGATGTGTCATTGACAGTATTAATTGAAATTGAATGTTTTGCCAGATCAATGGGTCGCTCGCTCGACAGGCCATCAAGGATCTTGAGTCAAGAGGCGCCATCAGGGTGGTGTCTGTACATTCGAGCCAGCTAATCTACACCAGAGCCACCAACGCTTGAGGCATAAGCTTTCACTAAAAAAAAAGCTTGGGACATAATCAGTCTAGACTCGCAACCAAAAAAATCGTATTGTACGATCTTTGTTGATCTTGAGATCCTGAAGAAAAAAAATTGGGAGTTCTGATTCCCATGACAATTGCAACATGAAATTGCTTATCTTCACTGAAATTCAATGTTCAACAAGCTGGCTATTTTATTAAATGGAATGCAGTGATTGTTTTATCTTGTGGCTCTTCTATTGAATGGAATGCACATGATCGTTATCTTGTGGCTCTGATTGCTATGCCTGATATGTGATTAACCCATGGCCTGTTTGGTTCGAGGAATAAACCCATCTAGGGTGGATTTGGTGGAATGACTCCATTCACCATCTCTTCAGTGGTTTGTACTTTTGTGGGGAATATGAGGAGATGGACTAACCACATCCCATCCCTCCAACCGAACAAACTAGGATCAAGTGAGTCAATTGGCCATCTCATTCCTCAATGCAAACAGCCCATATAAGTGTATGATGGTATGTGTATTGTATGCTTCATTGGTATTGCTTAGGGGAGGATATCGGCTCGGCTCGGTTTGGCTCATTACCTTAACGAGCCAGCTCGGCTCGGATCGTTAAGACTAACGAGCTCGAACGCTGACTCGGCTCGACTCGGCGAGCTGGCTCGTTGAGCTTGTTTAGCTCATTAACTTAATGCTTACCAACCGGTGCTCCCTATCCATGAAGGCCCTGCGGTGGCTGCGGGAGAAGCGGCGTGGCCCGGCGGCTGCAGTGGGAGGAGCGGCGTGGCTCGGTGGCTGCGGCGGGAGGAGTGGTGTGGTTGGCATCGTCGGCGTGGCGCTACAGCTGCGGGAGGAGCGACCGGAGTCGTCGCCTCGTCGGCGTGGCCTTGCGGCCCTTGCGGCTGCAGCCTGCGGGAGGAGGGGCCGGTGGGCAGGGCAGTGTTGCGGCCTATGGTGGGCTGGCGGCGCAAGGAGAAGGGCGAGGCAGCGCTGCGGCGGTGCAAGAGAAGGCGACGGCGGGAGCCTGCGAGGCTGCGACGGTGCATGCACAAGAGAGGCGCCTCGGCTAACTGACGACGGTCAAAGCTATGGTTTTTACTGGGCACTTGAGTTGTTGGGCTGGGCAGTTGGGCTTCCTTATTGGGTTGGGCTACCTGTCTGATTTTTGAGCTATGCGAGTTTAAGGAGCCTATTGAGTAACTCGCGAGCTGGCTCGGGCTCGGCTCGTTTGCTTAACGAGCAAAACAGCTAGCTTGGCTCGGCTCGTTAAGACTCCGAGCTCGAGTCGATCCGAGCCGAGCCTGCAACAAGCCGATCCGAGCCACGAGCTTCAAGCTTTTTGCCCAGCCCTAGTATTGCTATTAATGTGGGAATGCAGTTTTGCTATCAATTGTTTGTCTTTTTACAGAGAAATTAATTGTTTGTTCTTAGGATGTACTCCCCCCCCCCTTCTACATTATAAGATTTAAATTCACTAACATTCATACAAATTTAGACACATATGAAGCACATACATATAATGTGAAATAGATGAAGTAGTATAAAGTTATAAACTCAATACATATAATGTGAAATTGAGGAAGTAGTATAAAGTTATGAACTCATAGTGATTTGCATCCATACACATGATTAGGCCTGCCGCAAGATCACTCTTCCCTCTTCAACTACAGGTGATCAACCGCTATGAAATTCCATCCCATCAATGTGTATCAGGCCCTAAACAAACACACTATAAAATCTCAAATGGGCTGAAATTTAGCCCATACAGTACATAATTGGGCAAGACAAGGCCCATACAAATAGAGGCCGAAATGAGCTTCCGTTCTCTCTCGCCCCGCCCCGCCCGCCGCTCTCCTCCGCGCCGCCGCCCGCCGCCGTCTACTCCTCTCCCGCGCCGCCGGCCGCCGTGTTCCATCCTTTCCCCGGCGCCACAAGCTTCCGGCCCCTAGATAGCCCGCGAAGCCAAGCTGCCGGCCCCTCGCTCGCCCGCGCAGACGGCCGAGATGGTGGCAGCGGTGGCGCCGGAGTGGGCCACCAAGGAGCCCTGCCTCATGGGAATCGACGAGGCTGGGCGCGGCCCCGTTCTCGGTGACCACCCTTTCTCCTAAGATTTTTCTGTTAATTTTAGCTTTCGGTTGGGCATAGGTTCTTGTACTGTATCTCTCGATGAAATTTTACCCTATTTTCCTTGTTGATGTGTTGCTCCGCTTTGTATTGTTTCTTAAAGCTATTGTTACGCAAATCTGCAGTAAGTAGAGTTTCAAGCAAATACTGAATCTTTCTTGAAATCTTAGCTCGTGTCGGCACGTTCCGTTTCTGACATTTCCCCCAACTTGTGTTGAACTGAACTCGGATCTGCTCGTCTGGAGCAGAAATGTTGCAATTTGACTGAAATCGTGACCTCTCCGTGATGTTGCTGCCTCAGGTCCAATGGTGTATGGCTGCATGTACTGCGCTCGTTCCTACCAAGACACTCTTGCAACCCTTAAATTTGCAGGTATTCATGTCGGTTTTCCTGTCTCTTAGTATATATTTAGTAGTACTTCACTTCGCCTTGTTGCTGGTGGCGCTGCACATTACTATTAACTCATGAAGTAGGATAAGATTCCGAGATACATAATTTTAGTTTCATCAACATACAAAGTGGTGATTTGGAAGTTGGAACACATACAACTATACAAGGCTAACCAGCATTGTGCCTCATCATGTGTTATGACCTACTTATGGAATAAGAACTTTGGTTGACTTGGCCAGAAGGAAGGAAATAATCTTTTCTTTTAAGAGCCTGATACTAATTCTTACAAAGTCTGTGCAGAACTGGACTTTTGAATATACTACTATAGGATACAAACATCTCACCTTTTCTGCTGATAATAGTTGTTATGTTCTTCTTGGTTCTCTATCTCATAAAATTTTCTCCTTCCCCTTCATCTCATTCTTGTAAGATTTAACTGCTTTCATTTCCACATACTTCCACCCTATTAATTCAAAACACTACAAGCGTCGCTTATATGTGGTACAATCTCGTTTTTATTTTGTCATAATGCATGAATGCTAAACAATAGTCAGTCAAATCTCGAACATGTTTTGGTAATTCCATCATGTTTGCATTTAATATTCAAATCCTATAGTTGGTAAAAAAAATGTGACTTCCCTTGAGTACTGGATAATATGAAGAGTAAAACATGAATAGTAACTCATAAGTTGGCAGTCAGCCATACCACGTAGAGAATTTTACCACCAGTGAACTTACTTAGTTTGTTGTTCTTCTCCTGGGCAGATTCGAAGACCTTGAAGGAAGAACAAAGGGAGGAGCTGTTTGAAAGTCTAAAAGACAATAGTTCAATTGGGTGGGAAGTGGATGTCATATGCCCAAAGGAGCTATCTGCTAAAATGTTAAAAAGGTGTATCTGACTTTTGTACCTAAACTGCAAATCTTTGTTCTGTGACTAATAGTTTCTTTGTTTTCAGATCGAAAGTTAACCTGAATGAAATATCTCATAACTCTGCAATGGGTCTGGTCAAAAGAGCTCTTGACATGGGAGTTCTACTAGCAGAGGTATGAGCTTATATTATTGGATAAAAGTTTATCTTGTATGCAGTTAACCTTTGTAAACCCAAAAAATACTCACAAATTGTTTCAACAATTGTCTACCTCCTTGCAAAGGTCTACATTGATACGGTTGGAGATGCGGAGAAGTACAGGATCAAATTGACTGAAAAGTTCCCAGGCATCAAATTTGTGGTTGCCAAGAAGGCTGATAGCCTTTTCCCAGTTGTTAGTGGAGCAAGTATAGTTTCGAAGGTAATTCCATATATGATTTTTTTCCACCAATTATACTTTAATGTGTAAACTAGACATGCATGTATGTAGACAATTTATGCAGCAAACATTAACTTGTCTGAGTGTAAACCAATTATAAAGTTGTGACCTCTTGATATGTTAGTGCAGGTTACCAGAGACAGAGCCTTGAGAAACTGGGTATTTGATGAAACGGCTCAGAATATGCACATGAACACTGGGTCTGGTTATCCAGGAGGTAATGTATTCATCATTGTAAGTGATCTATTATCAATGTATATAGTCATAAAGACTGTTTTGTTAAAGACCTTCAATTAATGGTGCAGATCCTTCCACTAAACAATGGTTAGAAGATCACAAACATCCGATATTTGGATTCCCGTCTTTGGTTCGTTTTAGCTGGGGAACTTGCACGCCCTTCTTCAATGACGCAATTGAAGTTACCTGGTGAGTTTTAATTTTGAAGCCTTATGGTACTGTGCGTTTCATAAGACGCCGCAAACTGTGATTCTCGCGACAATTAAAATTTGTGCCATATGCAATCATATGTAGGGAGTCCAATGAACTTGAAGAAGATGCAGGTAGCAACGGTAGTGTTAAGAGACAGGTCAAGCTATCAAGCTTAGGCTTTACTGGATTCAAAAGGAAGTCTGAGGAGATCGACTCAAGTGGGAAAGGCCGTTGCAAGTTCTTCCAGGCTCGCAAACTTGAACTTGTCAGGAAGTTTCAGTGATGCGTATCAGCTTCGTTGTCTGTACTACTAACTTTAAGTCAGAGTAGAAGGCTCTTATGGGGTTATGGCTTGTATTTCAGCTGTGACACTTGTGAGTTCAGTATAATGAAGGCTCTTATGGTGATATTGTATTTCAGCTATGAACTTGTGGGTTCAGTAAAATTCTGAATCGAGCATTTGAAGTGTTTTTCAGACATTTATTTGAACTGCTCCAAAGTTAATAGAATTATGTTAGATTGATTCTATGCACTTGATGTATTTCTTAGCAATGGAAAGTTGCCAAAGCAAACCTGACACTAATGAAAACCCTCTTCGTTTTTAGTTCGGCGTAGTTCTCATTCAGGAGATGTACATAAATATATTTGTATTGGATTGTATTGCCAGAATACTCCATGAAATTATAGAGGAAAAAGAAAACACACAAAGGCCTAGATAAATATACTAATAAATAATTGGATAACATACATCAACACATCCGTTGTCGTCCAGCGGTTAGGATATCTGGCTTTCACCCAGGAGACCCGGGTTCGATTCCCGGCAACGGAAATTTTTGTTTTCTCCTTTTGCATGTTGCAGACGTTGTATACGCATGGAGTTGCAAATCTCTTGCGATTTTGAAACAAGAACTAAATTGCGAATTATAAAGCACTTATGATTTGACGTAAGAATCGAATTATGAAATAACAATACCTTTTCTTTTGTGATATAGGACATGCAAATAGTGCACATTATTCACACTACTTTTTGTACGACATGGAAAAAAAAAAGGAGAGAATGTCTTTTATAGAGACAAAGACTTTCCCAAGCACACATATTCATCGGGATATAGATTTTTATCTCTTGAGTAGATATCCCTCTCGTTTCGTGTATATTTATCTGAGTAGTTATAAAAAAATAAAAAAAAAGACAAGATAAATCAATATGAGATATATCATCCAAAAAATATGTAAGGTCAAATTCGACTTTTATAATTTATAACAAAAAGGAATAAATTAAACTTAGTTAATGTACATTCGTGGTTATATTTTAAATTTTTATTAATTATTGTTACAACTTGTAAAAGTTAAATTTAAATTTGAGTAAATTGTAATAGCGGTACAGGATCATGTCAAGTGGGTGCAATTTAGTATATGAACATGTAAAATGCTCGTTTTGGTGCATGCACTTGTTTAATAAATGCAAAGTAAGGCTAAAATGGCACGACAAGACTAGTTTTTCTATGTTGGACATTATAAATTATAAACTAGTAGATGACGTGCGTGCACATAGTAGAAATGTTATATTTGTAAACTTAGTTTCCACTTTATCTTTCTTTGTTTCTATCCCTTACATCATTGCTCAGTTTTATATTTTTTATGCAATCATTATGTCTTATTATAGGCTTATCCTTCTTAGACACGTGTTTACATAGAATCAAAATCAACAAGATTAACCTTGCCGTACGATTTTGACCTTATTCGCACGCACCAAACAAGTTCGTGCACTAAAACAAACGTTTTACAAGTTCATGTACTAGATTGCACCTACCTGACAAGTTCGTGTACTGCTGATATAATTTACTCATTAAATTTGTATGTTTTTGAAGTGATATATTTCATATTAACTTATTTTATTATTTTTTAAAAAAAAATCTAACAACTATTTATATGACATGCAACAAATCGTCATGAGAAATGAAAACACTTTCCATATTCATCATCTCTTTTAATGAAATTACATGGGTAAATAGCTAATTTAGTCTCTCAAATTTCACCGAAGGCTCAATTTGATCCTTCAAGTTTCATTTTGTTCATACAAGTTCTTTAAGTATTTGTTTTGGCTTAAAATCATTCTTAGGCCTACTTAATATGCCATATGGCTATTTCTAGTCAACATTTATGTTAGAAAATGTCTTTTTTCCATTAATTTGTATGCAACCATATACTAGAAAAAGAGAAAACCAAGATAAATAAACAACATTGCAGATGTACTTCCCATTATTTTAATATATGCACAAAAAACTTGAGTGTAATGGCTATCGCATACACTTGCAAATACGATAGCCATTATTTCTATGGCGGTGCCGCACGATGCTTCTCATTTTAGTCCTTAAGACGGGAAGAACCAATCAGCTATCCATCGAGGTCTCCATCGTTTAGGTGGGTATCCATCATCATCTAACCCTAAAGGCACCCTATCCCTCTTTATGGACACCGGATTATCGAACCTGAAAGTGCCGTTCTTCATGTTATACACACCGTAGGCGCAGTCGCCGATGCCATCGATGATCCCATCCAAGCAGTAGTCAGTAACAATGGATCCCAAGAAGAATATGGAGCTCCCATGATCCGGCAATGTCGGGACTGCCTTGGAGTTGGTGTTGCCGAGGAAGATTGCCTGGTCACCTATCTCCTCCACCTCCGACCACCGGCGATTCTCCATGTCCGCCTCGAACACGTCCAGCTTGATCTCCTTGCTCAGCTCGTCGGCGCACCAATGGCGGTAATCGTAGACGGCGGGGAGGCGCCACCGCCACCGGACCATCAGCAGCGGCTTGTCGCCGGTGCACGACTCGACGAGGTGGAGGTTGCGCACCCAATAGTAACCGTGTTCTTCGTCGTCGAGAGGAGGAGCTGTGTCGATCACGACCTCGCCGCGGCAGTAGCGAGGTCTATGCTGCGTTGCCGTCGTCGTCGACGATGACGGCGACGAGACGGCCTCGCTGCTGCTGAACTCGTGGACGAAGAGCTCCTCGCCGGTGCTGATGGAGTAGAGCTTGCCGTGGTACAAGGCCATGTCGCGCCAGCAGTGGTGCGAGGTAAAGAGGCCGCCGTCGTCGATGGAGATGGTGGCGGCCGTGAATGACCAGTACGGCAACTGCGGCGGCTTGGGCGGAAGGTGGAGGAGGATGAAATAGTCAGTCATGGCGGCGACGTGGTCCGGCGAGCGCACGATGATCTTGCGCATGAATTCCTCGGGCTTGGGGAAGCACATGGCGTCGTAGCAGCCGCCGGGGCAGAGCCCGACGGGAGCGTGGTTGGGCAGAGCAATCTTGGCCATGGAGAGAGGGTTCCTCAGAAAGCACTCGGGTTGGCGCTGCGGCTGCGGCGGCGGCTGCTCCGGCGGCCGGTGGTAGAGGAGCCAGCCATCGAAGGAGCCGCGGCAGACGGTGCCGGGAAGTTCGTCGTCGTCGGGGTCGGGGACGAGGCGGTGCACCTCGCCGTCGGGGAGGCTCTGGTAGGTGGCGCGGTCCAAGCTGAGCCAGGGCAGCGGCGGCGGCAGCGGGTGCTGCCGCGGCGCGGCGAGGCGCCACGAACGGCACACGGCTTGGAAGCGGAGGCGGTCTCTGTAGGACAGGAGACGGCAGAAGACCATGCCCGCCAGCTCCGGTAGGAGGTCCGGCCATGGCGACGAGGCGCGTTCGTCCACGCCGCTGGCTGGAGGTACAAGCACAACGACTTCCTGGTCGAGTTTCGCGTCGTCCATGGCGCTCTGCGTCGTCGACGTACGGCCGGACGTGCGGACGACGATGGATTCTTCTCTTTTGTCCGTCCGTGTATCGGATTTTAATTAGCTCGATCGTCTCGAGACATACACGTACGTATGCAGAGAGGCGCGGTGTGCGACTGCTTGATCGAATCGTATTTGGAGATTGGAATTGATTCCATCTGTAATCGGTTGGAGTTGGAGATTGGAACTGATGTGTTTAGTTCGAAGTTTGATTGAAATTGCAACAGTGCGACGGAAAAGTTGGAAGTTTATGTGTGTAAAAAAAGTTAAAAATTTAAAGAAAAAAATTAGGAACTAACCATGCCTGAGATATATGGGGTCAGGTTCCACAATAGAGGTCGAATTCCCCGGCCCGCGGCTAGGGGTTCTGTTGGGAGTAGGGTTTCCTTCCTCCCGTTCTTGTGCTTTCGTTTTAACTTAATCAGTTTTAGTTTCAGTCTCCCTTCCATATTATAAGTCAGTTTGATTTTCTTTAACTAAGTTTATAAAATAATTTATATTAGCAACATCTAAAAATATTAAATTAGTTTCATTAAATCTAACATTAAATATATTTTGATAATATATTTATTTTTAAGTTAAAAATACTACTATATTTTTCTATAAATTTGATTGAACTTCTTAGAAAAAAGTGAAACGGCTTATAATATGAAATGGAGGGAATACTAGTTAATCTCGTGATCTTTACCCTGTTTCCACGTGCCCGTTCCTTGACCGAATCTCCAAAGGGGGTGCTACTCTTCCTCGCTGGAGGAACCCGTGCTCCAATTATATATATTATAATAGAGATGCATAATTTCATATTTTCACTATTGATAACCTTAGATAACATGTTAAACCTTAAATTTTTAGGATGTGACACCGAAAATGTCTCCTTAATTTTGCTCTTCCATTATAAAAAAAAAAAAACCTAACGATCGCACTACAGCCATTGCAGCCTCATCATAACTCAGATGGGAAGAACCACTCAGATCTCATCGTTTCATTCACTCGTGTCCCTCGACCTCTGCTCATGTCCAGCTCGCCATCTCTTCAGTGACACCGTGCTGAACCTGCCATTGCTCATGTCATACACACCGCATGAGCAGCAGCAGCAGCCAATGCCACCGCCGCCGCCGCCGCAGCGTCGGCCCAAATCGGATCCCACGATGAACACGCGGTTGCCTCGGAGAAATCCATGGCGGCCGCCGCCATTGTTGTCCGGCAATCGGAGTGCCCTGGAGCAGGTCGCGCTGACGAAGAGAGCCTGGTCGTCGCCTATGTCCGTCACCTCCGTCCACCGCCGCGCCTCCATGTCCGCCTCGAACACCCTGACCGTGATAAGGTTGCTCAGCAGGGAGAAGGCGAGGCGCCCCCCCTCGCCGGAGAACAGCTCGTCGGGGAGGCTCCACCGGACCAGCAGCAGCTTGCCGGCGAGCGACGCGACGAGGTAGGAGGTGAACCTCAGGTGGTACCCGTGGTTGCCGAGGTGCTCCCTCGGAGGCCGCGCGTCGGTCACTGCCGCCCAATCCGATGATGCCGTGACCCTCGCCGAACCGCCGCCGCGATCGGCGGCGGTGGTGGTGAAGAATTCATGGACAAAGAGCGCGTCGTTGTTGTTGATGGAGTAGAGCTTCCCGTGGTGGAAGGCGATGTCATGGCAGCAAATATTCGGGTTGGTCCTCGCCCACGACGAGTGCTTGTTCGGCAGGTGAAAGATCAGCGAGGTGTACTCGACGGCGGCGGCGACGAGGTCCGGCGAGCAGACGACGATCTTGCGCTTGATGGCGTTGACGAAGCACATGGGCTCGCCGCCGGCGGCGTCGTCGCAGCGAGACGGCAGGTCTAGCACGGCGCCGGAGAAGGGGTTCCAGAGGAAGCTGCTCCTGATGTCGCGGTAGCCGTTCCGGTGGTAGAGGAGCCAGCCGTCGAACGAGCCGCGGCACACCATGATCCCGGGCCCGTCGGCGAACCGGTGCACCTCGCCGTCGGGGAGGCTCTGGTAGGTGCGGCGGTCGAGGGCGAGCCACGGCAGAGACGGCGGCAGCTGCAGCGACGACGAGCTCGGGCCCGTCGTTACCGCTACCTGCTCCCGCGCGGCGAGGCGCCAGTCGCTGCAGACGGCCCGGAAGCGGCGGCGGTCGCCGTGGGACAGCAGCCGGCAGAACACCAACCCGGCGAGCTCCGGCGGCAGGTCCGACCATGGCGATCCCCGTCCGTCGTCGTCGTCGCCGGCGCCGGCGGGAGGCACCGCAACAACTTCTCCGACAAGGTTGCGCCCGAGCTCGCCTTCGAGACGGTCGTCCGACGAGGGGCAGCGGCGGCGGCGGCGCTGCAAGCCGCAGTTGCTTGCAGCGACGCCCATGGCGATGTGAGATTGATCGCGAAAGCTTTCGATTCGGGAGGCTAAAACGAAGGCGTGCCTCACGGAGTTGTAGCGTCTGTTCTGATTATTGCCAAAATCAACCTTACCAAAATTTGACAATGTTAAATTTTTAGCAAGTTAACAAAATTGCCAAATTTTGATAGGATGAAACAAATATGTTGTGCAAAAATTTTACATGTGTTACCAAAATTTGGTAACAAACTAAATACAATCATATCTTTGTCAATTTTATTAAAACTAGAAAAAATGCCCGTGCGTTGCAACGGGTGAAATCTATTTTAATCTTATTATTGTTATATAGTTTAGATAAGATGAAATTCACTGTGGGAGTTCGCTTGGATATATATATTTTTAGAAAATTATGAGCGGCAGTTAGAAGTTCGATCATCTCAAATTAGAATGTGAGTTTTTTTAAACAGATTTCTTATATGATTCCTTCTATATTACCAAAAGTGAACAATTTTAAAAACCGACTCAAATACGGATATGTATTTCCAAAAGCAAACGAATTTAAAAACCGACTCATACACGGATGACATACCAAAATACCAATAAAAACATATTTAATTTTTATAATAATAGAGATAATGGTATGGAATTTTATGAAAATAATGGTATGATTAAAAATGGCACTAATGGCCTGTAGTCATTCTGATTCAAGTCCAAATTTCATCGCCACCAATGGACGGATTAGTATGGGCCACAAATTCTGATGGGCCAACATAGGCTGTCAGTGATCTAGTTTCAATGGGCTTAGCAGGACCGCCAGCATTGGTTGAGTACCAAAATTCTGATGGGCCAAAAAGAAGCCTCGGGCCAAAATTCGATGAAAATTTGACGGGAATATAGTATTATGGTATAGTAAGCAATTAATTACTCCCTATATTTTATATTATAAACCGTTTGGTTTTCTAAAACTTCTCTAAGAATGACTAAGTTTATAGAAAGAAAAATATACTAACAATTTCAATACAAAACAAACATATTATCAAAATATATTTAATGTTATAAAACTAATTTAGTATTATGAATATTGCTATTTTTTCTATAAACTTGGTCAGTGTTAAAGAACTTTGATTTAGAAAAAAGTCAAACGTCTTATAATACAAAACAGAGGGAATATAATTTGTATGTAGCTACTTTCAACAATCCCATGGTAACACACTATTTTTATAAAGTGTATGTCTCGGGACGAAATACCCTGATCCGTACGCACAATATGATTTTCTCCTTTCCCGTTTGCATAAATCTTGAAGCAAATCTAGCTATTCAAAAATCTATATACAAGTTACATACTAATAGTTTTGATGCAATTATATTTACATTTAATAATTCTAATAATTTATCAACATGTGTATATCAAATTCGATTGGGATCCATAGTTTTTTGCAAATATGTAAAACTGTAAGGGCTTAACCACAAAAGAGGCAAACATCCTCTTCCTATAACCGCTCTACCGCGGCGGCCTCCGCTCGCCGGCATCGCGGCCACGTCCACCCCAACCTCCCCTTCCGCCGATGCCGGAGCGCCGCCACCTCGCCGGAGACTCACCGTGCTGGTGATCATCCTCCGGACAACCCACCATGGAGCGCCTCCTGCACTTCCGGCCCCCGAAACCGACCTCTGCCAATGCCGTTGCAGCGGCGGCTACCGCCGACGGCGACCTCCTCGAGCTCGACGTGCTCTGGCCTGCATCCCGCGCCCCGGGCCTCCTCGCGGCGCTCCCTGAGGAGGACGGGAAGCGGAGGAGGAAGCGCGGCGGGAGCGGGAGCGGGAGCGTGGCCGTCCGATCCGCGGCGCGGCCTATCCCGGAGACCGCCGCGTTGACCCTGGTCCCGTCGTCGTCCGCGGCGGCGATGGCGAAGTCGGCGCCGGTGAGGATACCGTCGGAGGCGGCGGCGGCGCGTAGGGGGGTGATGTGGGCGGCGCAGGCGGGCGGCGAGGACGGGGAGGCGGCCATGGTCCCGCCCCACGAGATCGTGGCGCGGCGCGCCGCGGCGCACAGCTCGGTGCTGGAGGGCTCCGGGAGGACGCTCAAGGGGCGCGACCTCCACCGCGTCCGCAACGCCGTCCTCCGCCGCACCGGCTTCCTCGACTGAGGCGAAGGCGAGTCGTCTCAGTCTGCTCTTCGCGATGAAATTTTGAAGACTCTTTTTTTCTTTTCGTGTTCAATTTTCCATTCCCTTCGAGTCGCCTTTTTATGTTTCCGGCTATTTTGATTTCTTCTCTTGATGAACAAGGGATTTGAACGAGATGAGGTGAGGTGAGATGAGTGAGCGAGGCATATTATACTTCATATGACATTCATTCCATCACAATCTTATATGAAAATTTTGGTCCTTACATCTGTTCAATCTGTATGTATGCTGCCAATCTTGGGGAAAAGTGAATATTTTTTGTCGAAAGAAATTGCGAACCATTAAATTTCGGCATAGAAGCAAAGCATTAGTGGTTGCGGCGGTATACAAAATGTTGCTTCTTGTGGACCATGTTCTCTTTAGTGCTTATGTGCAACTTCGGTCTAATCACTAATTAGTAATCACCACGAAGGTGCAAGCTTGTCGTAGTGATTGATCCACAAGATGGTGGGGGACAAAAAATCTGAAATTATTAGGTTCTTTGTTGGTGGTGTTCTGGCACGGAGATTGTGAGTTTGTGACTGATTAGGAATTGATGAATTTGGGTTGTTGTGGTTTAGTTGATACCATAGGCTTGTTACTTGTGTATAGTCTTTGGCTGTTAAATCACATACTACGTATTTGTAAAATTTAGATCAAAGTTGCCGTAGTATATATTCATTTCTAGCTAATGGGGTGGAAATCTCAGCTCAGTAGTGCAACCCAGTCTGTGCGATTTTGTTTCATTTTTATTAGGTGCTTATCAAAGGTGGTAAAAATGCCAACTATAAGGAGAGATGTTAGTATCAAATTTTGTCTCGGATTCTAGTTTTAGGAGGGGATCAATGTAAATCCATTTGGAACAAGGTCACATGGAAACCTAATAATTGAGGTTGATCATCAATGTTCTATTTGTGCAATGGTTATGTTCATGTGGATTTTGGGGGCAAGTAGCATGTAGATCAAATCAATTGGGTGCAATTAATATAGGAAGTGGAGTATTGTTTATGTCCAAAGTTCATCTCGAGAAGAACACATTCAATCTTAAACTCATAGTTTCAGATTCCCTGGAACTCCTTTGCACCAGTATTTTGGTGGTCCTTCACCAAGAATACTTAAATCTTGAACCACTACATTGCATCCTAGTACTATTGTGGAAATGTGGAATCATCTGCTCTTGTGGCTTCTCCAGGATCAGATATAAAAGAGATATTCCCCCACCCCCAAGATGCACCCATCCTTGATTATTTACAAGAATCCCATTGCCTTTACACACTTGTCTAGGCACAAGGACCGCCACAACGCTACCAAAGTATTACTAGTAGTAATGAATAGCTCCAGTGCACAAGGTCCTTGGATTATCTCCATCAAGATACAGCTAGTAATATATAGTTGCTCTCATGTTCCTGGGAATAAAGTTGTTTTATTTTGTCACTTCAAACATCTGATGCCATTAAATGATGAACATTTTTTAATAAAAAAAAAGTGGGTTAAGAATTTATCACTGGTGGCAAAGAAGAAGTAGCATCAACAGCTAATTGAATGTTCACTTCTGACTAGCCATTTCTATTGAGATAAGTTACAATACCATTGCCATCTTTTATGAAGTTCCCCATTTTATGTACTCATCAGCCACTAAAATCAATAATGCTCTGTTGTTCTAAAGATTAGGGTATTATATATTCCTATATTCGCAAATGTCCATAAAGCTGCAAATTTCTTCGAAATTGACTATGCATTACTGTTCTTTGTTCAGTTATACTCAATCGCATGTCACTTCTGACATATCAAAAACTCAGGGAGTTTTTCAGAAGGCCTCTCACTATTTAGGTGCATTATTTGACTCCAAGATTAGGTTATCTGCTCTGGTTGCTTATAGAATCGACGATGACCTATTACTTTTCGCTCTCATTGTCTGCATCCAACAATAGCATTCTTTTAGCGGAACAATCTCCCTTTATTTGATTCCATCATAAATTCGTTTTGTCGATTTTTTCCCCTGTTGGAATCTGAATATGCAAGGTATCTTCCATCATGTAGTACGTACTACTGATGATGACCACAAATTATTTAATGGGCACATGTGATGTCCAGCTCATACTATCTTTCTTTAAATTAGCTGAACCATATTTTGATACAGAATAAACGGCTTATGATGCTTACCTTCGGCGCTAAATAGTTGTGACAGCACTCTTGGGGGGACCATTGCCCCTCAGCAACACAATTCCTATAAGGAAACATATGGTATGCTCACTGCTCAGTTCACCTCATAGGTCTAGAACTTCTTGCTATCCCTTGGTTGTCATGTTGGGCTATCTGTAATAACTAAGCATATACACTCTCCGTCCCATAAAAAACCAACTTCTGGGTATATCCAGATTTAAACCTAGAAGTTGGTTTTTTACGTAATAGAGGGAGTAGTTATGTTGCTTCGTAACCAAAACTTGGGTGTTTGTGGTTATGGTAAAGGAGTTATGTACACATTTTTGTGTGTTTTCCTGGCTTTGATTTATTGTTTTATCAATCCTCTCTTACCAAGGTTTTATTCAGACTATCTGAGTAAACATGCAGATCTACTTTGTGTGGCCATGTGGTCTATGTGGGAAAGGACTCTTTTCTTTGGGGAACTTCTAGTTGCAAGGGTTTTGTTATGGTCCATTGCTATGGTAGCTTGATGATCTATGCTAGAAAGATCCCAGCTTATATGGTGGTATTGCTTTTAAGGGATTTTAAGGCTGTAACTGTAAAGATGGTTCACAAGAGGTTTTTGTGTCGTGTCTGCCTGTCGATGAATTTGGCTGCAGGACAAACCAGAGACAGCCCATTTGATTGGAACTGAGCCCATTTGTTACAGGATTCTTGACAGTTACCAGGCCTTCTAGTAGCATAATTCTGGATTCTGATTCATCAAACTCCATTGTTACAGGAAAGTTTTTAAAGAATAATTAAGCAAGATCCTACCTAGTAGTACCTACCTGTGTAATTGGGACAGAAGGCAGATGCTTATATGTTCCCAGTTATTCCCACTGTTTATATATGCCTTCTGAACGTCTGGAGATCGTTTTGTGGACTGTTGAACTTTGAAGTCAGCCATTGAGGTTGAGCAAGAAGAGATACACATGCATGTCAGCATTTGGAGAATTCAGTCATGGATGCATGGTAAACTTGTATCAGTATCAAGCCTGACTTGTTCTAGTGTTCTAGTACTGATGTTGGTATGAACACAAGACCATGTACTCTCTGTGGTTGGCTGGGTAAATAATAGTACACGTAGCCACGTACGTGTTAGACCAGAAACAAGATCAGTCACTTTGATAGCTGGTGGTCTAGCTAATCTCAGTGTACAGTTGGATTTTGTTGGTAGTGGAGCTACGCTGTTGTGTTGCCCTTTCTTCCATTGTGGTTTGAAAAATGCGAGTGTTGCCACAGAGGAACAGCTGTACCACTAGTGATTGCTTCATAGATTAAGAGATGGAACGCATAATTAATTTCCAGGAGTTCCTTTTAAATTTATTTTTTTTCACTTTAAACCACTTTTTACTGATATTTCACTTTGAACCACCATTTAACTAATATTTTCACTTTAAACCATGTATTTTTACCTTTATAATATTTTGGACCACCCTCAATTATAGATACTTTAACTAAATTATCGTAAAACTACATATATAAGGTGGTGTATCACTAAACTACATAGTAAATTTATCACAAAACTAAAAATTTAAGGCTAATTGCAAAACTACAAATTCAATAATAAAATTATCACAAAATTATATATTTTAGGGTTTAAATTCTTAGCACTAATTTTATGTTTGAGTTATAAACATACAAGTTTTATGATTAAATTGATAATAAACTTGTAGTTCTGTAATAAGAATGTTACTAAATTTGTATGTTTACGGTACTTCACCTTAAATATGTAGTTTTTGATGCATCATCAGTATATTTGTAGTTTTATCATATGCTAAAGACGTGGTCTTATATGTAGATGTGAGAGTTCATTGACGAGTAGAAGTCGAACATATGCTTGAGAAGAGTCGGGTGGTCCAAAGTGAAACAAATGTTCGATTACCAAATCTAAAGTGAAAATATTGGTTAAAGAGTGGTCTAGTTGAACATTGGTAATAAAATGTGATCCCAAGTGAATTATTTTGGCTGAGATCTCCAATAGATTCTAGTGAATTCACAACGCAGATTGCTAGGGCGATAGTTTCACCTCCAGCTACTTATAACTCATAATGCTTGTCAGCGATCAAAAAAATAGTTTATGATAAAATATTTATATGTGTTCAGAGCGACTTAAAAACCAATGGTAAAAAATAAACTACAATAAAAAATATTAAAATAAACTCTAAAATCAAGTTTTAAAATTTTAAATTTTGGTTGCAATTGATAAGCTCAATAACAATTGATGGTGCTTATATTCATTCAACAAAGGAAAATCATGGTCAAATTACTCTCTCTCTCTCTCTCTCTCTCTCTCTCTCTCTTTAACTCATGGTCAAATTACTTACTCGGTGAACTGTACTTTGAACTTGCATATCTGAACTCGAAAGCGAGAAATGGCGGAAGCTAGTCTATCTTACTTATCCTGTGTTTAGATTCAAAGGGTGTGTTTAGTTCCAAAGTTTTTTTTCAAACTTTCAACTTTTCCCATCACATCAACCTGTCGTGCACACACAAACTTTAAATCACATCGTTCCAATTTTTAACCAAACTTCAAATTTCGGCGTGAACTAAACACAGCCAAAGTTTGGATCTAAACTTCAGTCCTTTTCCATCACATCAACCTGTCATACACACACAACTTTTCAGTGACATCATCTCCAATTTCAACCAAAATCCAAACTTCGCGCTGAACTAAACACAGCCTTACTCGGTGAACTGTACTTTGAACTTGCATATCTGAACTCGAAAGCGAGAAATGGCGAAAGCTAGTCTATCTATTCTAGTCCTGCACATCTCTCTAATTACCAGTATTACTAGAACAGCTTGCGCATGCATACGTGTGGATGTTTTGACTGCCAAACTCTCAGACAATCAAAGGAAAAAGGAATACTTTGCAGGAAACAGAGTATGAAAGAAACAAGAAGCAGAATTTCTGAATACAGCCTAGATATACAGCGATGTCTTTGCAGGTTTCTGAATCGGTCTACCACCAACAGACGGACTTCCAAGCAATGGACAGTTACAGGACGAGGAAGAAGCTGAGACCCTGCTTAGATGGGACTATTAAAAGTGTTTAGATGGGACTAAAACTTTTAAGTCCCTATCACATGAGATGTTTGGACATTAATTATAAATATTAAACGTAGACTATTAATAAAACACATCTATAATTTTAGACTAATTCGCGAGACGAATCTATTAAGCCTAATTAATCCATGATTAGCCTATGTGATGCTACAGTAAACATTCTCTAATTATGAATTATTAGGCTTAAAAATTTTGTCTCGCGAATTAGCTTTCATTTATGTAATCAGTTTTGTAAGTAGTCTATATTTAATACTCTAAATTAGTATCTAAATAAAGATACTAAAGTTAAGTCCCTGATCCAAACACCACTTGAGTAAAGTAGCTGACTAATAACTGAACTCAAGAACTGAATATTTGTGACATCTTGAAAGCTCAATTGAATCGCAATCTGCCAATAATCTCCATGGCTCCATGCATGCTCGGTGTCAGACGTGTTCTACCTGTCTGTCTACTTTCTGCTCGAATAACGCGTTCAGATCCAAGAAGATTGAGGACTCGTCGCTGTGTCGTCTTCGTCGCAACCAACCATGCATGCATGCAAGCTAGCAGTAATACTGAACATAAGAACATATAGAGACGCGTTTCTTCAGAGACCAATTTAGAGAAGAAAGGACAGGTCTTGATTTGGACTGAGTGACGACTCATCAGAATAGTGTCAATTTAGTTCAGAGTTGAGAGTGTCAATTAATTAGTATATAATTCCTGAAAGTTAGAACCGTACTGGATTAGCTGGCTAGGAGCACTAGCTACTTGACCTGGTCATGCTCATGCTTGCAGTCGTCGTCATCTTGATCCCCCTAGCTTACATTTGGATGCGTTTGAATATTGTTTCTTCAATTCGATGATATCCTGATGACCATTATAATTTTGTCGTGAAGAGTTTATATTGGCTTTGGCTCTGCATGGGTGCGTGTGTGCACGGATCGATGTGAAGTCTGAATCAGTGTGAAAATTTCATCTCCTTTTCTCTCTAGCTATGGCCATGCACCGGAACTGCCTAGTAATTCTACTCTGAATCGATCGTTCCTGGCGAATTTGTTCATATCTCTAACAAATTGTTCAGGAATCTGTCAACCGATCGACACATCCAATCTGCCTAGCTGCTGGCTTTGTCTGATTGTCTCTGAGTAGGGGGATCCGATTCAGTTGCTACGGAATTTCCATACAAATGCCTTTGCCTTGCCGGGAGCACAGGTCCCAGGACCATAGTACGCTACATGTAGTGGGAAAGTGTGTTAATTTATTAGGGTTCTCTCATTGTTTCTTGCATCTCACCTAAATATTTATTTAAAAAAAATAGTTTTTTATAGTTTAGAGAATTGAATTTTAACATATTTGTAGAGTGATTCATATCAATCTATCTTATCAAGTTTTTTTTAAAAAAAATAAATATTTAAATGACATGTAAAAAACAATAAGATCGATGTTTCCTCTAGCAATGAAAATCCATCTCCTACTTTTATGAGTTACAAGGGCTTTTAGAAACTGAGAAGGTTACAGTACGTGACAACCACGATAACCGCGTGGTTTTGTAAACCCTGGTCAAGACAACCTAGTTATGGCTCTGCGTTATTGGATTCTACTACTAGTAGTGGTGGAGATGAGAACTATTACGTCAAGCGCTGTCGATTGCTCTAGATTGGCATTCTTGATACGGGAGACGCATATATGCAGCATCTTGTTACTGGAGAGAGAAACATAAAATTCGTAGAGATTTGCTCCGGTCCAACAAAAATTATCTCGATGTACCGGTACCTCACGGTATCAAGTTGTTTCCGATCGTTGGATTTAATAATATCTATCATGCCCAGCTAGATCCAACGATCGGAAACGATTTAGTATCGTGAGGTACCAGTACCTCGAGATACTTTTTGTTGGGCCAGAGCAAATATCAAATTCGTAAATATACAGCGTGATGAAAATATGATCAGCTATGAGTTAGCCAACCTAAGGAGACTATTTTGATCGAAATATCATAATTAGTGCCTCACAGCTAATTCATGACAAATGTACTCCTTCCTATTTTAGTTTGATTATGAAATTCTCTTTTCCCGCAAAAAAAATCAGCATTTGACAATATTATAATCTGTTCTCTTTTAGAAAATTGTGCTTTTAACTGTAGATTTTGTTTAATATGAACCAACAAACTATAAACTAGATAAGCATAAACATGAATGTAGATAAATCTAGTTAATGAAAAATAAACAAAACTAAATTTTACACTAAATTATTATTAGAGTTGTCGCTTGTTAGGTAAGAAAAAAAAATGAGGCAATTGATAAATAGCAAAAAAAAAACTGTTAATTAATTAATGTCACACGCGTACAACCTATCATTTCATTTTACCTTTTTCTCAAGCGAAAGAAGTTCACTGTGCTTGTTCTTTCGGCACCGTTCACTGCTCCTTTCATGTACAGGGGGAGATGTGTCACTTTTACACGCTGCAACTGGCGAATTGATTAAATAATTAATTAACCCGAGTACGTACTCCCTCTAGCGAATAAAAAAACAACTTTAATACTCCGTCTAGCGCGTTTAATAATGTACTTATAATAATGCGTTGCTTAGCTTTTATCAGTTCAGAAGACTTGTTTCATCCGCGTTTGCCATGGACCGACCTGGACTTCCTTGACCTCATCTTGACTAACTCGGCCGACCAGTCAACGCCCTCCGTCTCTTCATTTTCATCTCTTCTCGTCAAGTACGCTGCTCAAGCCCTGTTCTAATTTAACATCATCATTTATCATTTCACTTATGCTTATACTCATCCATCAAAAATTAAATTTTTAATCTTATATTTAGAGTTGATTTTAAGGTTTTCGATCGTTAAAAACATATATATAAAAGTTTTATTCACAAATTATTTTTCGTTTGCAAATATGTCGTCCTCGAGTAAGCCAAACGACGGGCATGTTCATGAGACATATTTTTCTTTGTTTTCCGTTAGCACGTTTTTCAAACTACTAAACTTTGTATTTTTATACGAAAACTTTCTATATAGAAGTTGCTTTAAAACATTAGATAGATCTATTTTTCAAGTTTGTAATAATTAAAACTTAATTAATAACGCATTAATGATTTTCTAGTTTTACGTGACCGCCTTTTATCTTCATCCTTGTAAGAAAATCCAACGGGACCTGTGTCGAGTACTCGCTCTGTCCAAGAAAACTTAGGCTGTGTTTAGATTAGCCCAAAGTTTAGAATTTGGTTGAAATTGGAGACGATGTGACTGAAAAGTTGTGTGTATGAAAGGTTTAATGTGATGGAAAGTTGGAAGTTTGGAAAAAAAACTTTAGAACTAAACACACTCTTAGCGTAAACAAGGATGTGATCTCTTTTAGTAAGTAGGGTTGTCCAGATTCATTGTGCTAGGATCTCCTTTCTAAGTTGAGTTGTTTATGGATGGTGTAAAATATAAAGGATATGAGCTAGGCCAATCAGAACATATATAGTTGGGTTCGTTTCTCTGGAGCGTGTAAAACAAATTATCTGGCTAATTTTACGATAAATTAAATATTTCAAAAAGAATACCCCTCCGTTTTAGGTTATAAGATGTTTTGACTTTGTTTAAAATTAAACTGTTTCAAATTTGACTAAGTTTATAGAGATAAATATAGTAATATTTATAATACTAAATTAGTTTTATCAAATCAATAATTGAATATATTTTTATAATAATTTTTCCTTGGGTTTAAAATGTTACTACTTTTTTTTTACAAACTTGGTCAAACCTAAAGTAGTTTAACTTTGACTTAAATTCAAAACGTTTTATAACCTAAAACGGAGGTAGTAAGTTATAAATAGTTTAATTAAATGATTTGAGCAATGCAGCAAAAGAAGAAAGATTAGTAAGAAAACATATTTCTGAAAACGTAGAATAAATAATCTATAGTAATATCCGATAAATAAGCTGTCTTATAATTTTACATAGTACTTTTATGAGTTGTAAACGAGAAATGGTACTTATACGTAACTCAGTACCTGGATCAGCTCATCTTATACGCTATCCAAGCCAAATTATGGGACGATATGATGCAAGCTTGGAGGAACCACAAATTAAGAAGCTATACCAAAATAACTAAGTAACATACACTTAAGCGATGATGATCTTCCAACACATATAATTAATCACGTGACCTACGTTGAGTGTACATTATTTAAGAGTATTTTCTTAATCATTACCGTACGAACGTAAGATAGCACAAGTATACGCTAGTAAAATTTGTTTGCGATACACACCGCTAGAAAAAGTTCTAAAAAAAAATCGAGTGAGATTTCAAACCTAGACCGGCTAGCCCATCATCTTGTGGAACTAGTCGAAAGACCCCTAAGCATTTCTCAAGTTCTGGACATGCATACTTACGACAATGTCACATTAATTAATGACTCTCTTTAATTCCTTGCTCGCCACAATCATCAGCTTCATTTTAATTTAAATTTCAAATTTATTTATCTATTACCATAACTTAAAATTCTAAAGTTTATTCCTCTATGGCTTATCGTCAGTGATAGCACAAATTATCATAGCCTAGCACATACTCCTTTTGTTCAATATTATTATAACTCGTTTGTTTTTCTCACTTAAACTTTTTTAATTTTATGAATTTTGTAGGAAAATATAATAACATTATTAATACAAAACAAATATTGTATTAAAATACATTCAATGCTAAATTTAAGGAAACTAATTTCGTATAGTAGACGTTGCTAATTTTTTATACAAACTTAATCAAACCGAAATAATTTTAACTAAAAAATCAAAAGAACTACAATGAAGTAAAACGGAATGATTACTAGCTAGCTAGGCCACATATCGCTCCGTAATAAATGCAGCATCTCACTCTCGTCGTCCTCTCATTCTCTGGTCCTCGTCAACCATGGATACAAGCTAGCTTTGCTTCTTCTTCTTCGTCTTCTTGTACCAAATCATTCAAAGTTTTCTTTCTTCAAGCCTTCAATCTTCTATATATATCTCCCTCCATGATCAACCAGCTATAGCTACCTCACTCCAACAATCGCCGACCACGATGGCCACCACGAGGAGCGGCGTCGGCGGCGCCATCAGCGACCCATTTGCGACGCCGGGGTTCCGCTTCTACCCGACGGAGGAGGAGCTTCTCGGCTTCTACCTCCGCCACCGCCTCGCCGGCACGAGGCCCGACGTCGAGCGCGTCATCCCCGTCGTCGACGTCTACGGCTACCACCCGTCCCAGCTCGCCGCCCTGGCCGGGGAGGCGAGCGCGCGCGACACGGAGCAGTGGTTCTTCTTCTGCCCGCGCGCCGAGCGGGAGCTCCACGGCGGCCGGCCGGCGCGCACCACGCCGTCGGGGTACTGGAAGGCCACGGGATCCCCGTCCTGCGTCATCTCCTCCGCCACAAACAGGGTCATCGGCGTCAAGCGCACCATGGTGTTCTACCAGGGCCGCGCCCCCACCGGCACCAAGACCCGCTGGAAGATGAACGAGTACAAGGCCGTCGCCGACGACGCCGACGCCGCCGCCGCCGCCATGCTCCACCCAATGGCGCCTCCCAGGGTACACACATGAACTGATTAATGTATGATGTGTTAATTAGTTAGTTAATTATGTGCGTGAAGTGTTTGATGTTTGTTCGAGCAGCTGAGGAACGAGCTGGGAGTGTGCCGGGTGTACATCAGCACGGGCACGCTGAGATCGTTCGACCGCCGGCCGCTCGATAATCAAGCGGCGGCGCCCACCCAGCAACAGGTGATGCCATCTTTGACGGCGGCGGCGGCGGTGAACACGAACCTCTGCGGCGGCGGCGGCGGCGTCGTGTTCGCCGGTGCACAAGGAGACAGCTCCCGCGACTGCAGCTCGTCGTCGGGGTCGCGAGAACTCGCCGGCGGCGCCGATGGGTCTGAAGACGACGCCATCGACTGGAACTCGCTCATCAGTAGCGCCACTGCTGATGATCTCGGCTTCAACACCGTCGTTGGTTTTGATCCTAGCATCGTCGGATCATGGCCACAAGTCTAGTGCTTGATTACGCGTAATATAAAATTAATCGAGTTTAGTGATCAGTTAGTTTTTTGTTTTTTTGCAAGAAGTTCAAAAATTATTGCTGTGTGTTTTGCACTGAGTAGCAAAGATGGGAGGATTAGAAGATGAATCGATTAGTTTGCAAATCAGGTGAATTAATTAGAGTAATTAACATCTGTAGTAATAGTAAGTAGAAAATCAAAATGAGAAGTTGTAGCAGAAAGTATATACTACCACAAATCCGTTCTTAGTCCGACTCCGAATTAATCCCAGACGGAAGATCGATCGAGACCGATTCGGAGATGGAGCCGATTTTGCTTGGAAATCAATGGAGAGGTGAAATGGGATCGGATTCATGGGCGGCTACATAAGCAGGAGTCGAGAGGCCGCACCAGCTCATCATCATCATCATCATCATCTCATTCCCCGCGGTTCGATCCTCCTCGCGCTCTCGTCGTCGTCGTCGTCATCTCCGGTTGATCGATCACTTCACTTCAAGTCGATGTCGGCCATGGCGGCTCTCCCTGTGCTGCTCCCGACCCCGCCGAGGAGCAAGATGCTGCCGCTGCTCCCGACGCCGTGCCTCGTCATCCTCCCCGCCAACTTCGCCACGTCGGTGGCCTCCAACGCGCCCAAGCCCGGCCGCGCCGACGCCGCCGACAGGTGGGACACGCACAAGAAACCCACCAGCTCGTCGTCGTCGTCAAGCTCCAGCACCGGGAGCGCCAGCCGCGCCGCCGCCTGCGAGCGCAAAGAACCCGGCAGCCCAGCGTCGTCGTCGTCAAGCAGCGGCGGGAAGCCCGGCCGAGCCGACTCCTGCGAGCGCTGGGACACGAACAAGGCCAAGAACCAGATCATCAGCAGCGGCCGCCTCACGCCGGCGTCGTCGTCGTCGACGAACGCGCGCTGGGACATGAACAAGGTCAAGAACACGGCGCCGCCGTCGAACAGCAACAAGCGGCCGGTGAGCCGCGGGTCCGCCTCGGCCGAGCGCTGGGACATCAGCAAGAAGCATCGCTCGCAGGACGCCGCCGCCGCCGCTCTCGGCTCGGCGAGTGATCGGAAGTTGACGACGGTGGCAAAGCCGCAGCAGCCGCTGTTCTCTGGGCCGGCGTTCCTGACCTCGCCGGAGCCAAGCATGCTTCCCATGCCCACCTTCTTGATGGCCCGATAGCTTCTGCTTGTGCATTTCAACTTCAGATGAATCGGACTGTAGTTAGGATGGGATTTGATGAAGCATGTTATTCTTTGTGGGTCTGTTTGTGATCAATTGAATTGAATTGAACTTGGATTATGTTTAATTTATAGTCGTAAACTCGTAATGTCAGCTAGAACGCACATGAATGATCGATAATCTATTCGGCTAGCTGTCCTAAACTGTAACTAAAGAGTTTGTATATTGGGATATCTGAGTTGTCATGTTCTTATTGAAACAATGATGATCTTCACGGAGGCAAACTTTAACTTTTAGTATGATGTTTTCAGTTTTTCATGGGCTATATAGCAGTTGACATATTAATCACTCAGATTTTTCTAACCGCCAAACATGCAATAAGCAACGTAATGTGTTCAGATTAAAATAGATAAAATTACATATTTACAAACCACTTGCCGCTAAGCAACGTCCAGGTTCAAATTAAAATAGATTTTTGAGTGTTGTTAGCACGAATATCGGCACAAATTAGAGGGTGGAAAAAACAAGTGATCTCCCACAAAAGAAAATTGTCGACAAAGATTTAACAAAACCGATTTTTCATAGGAAAAAGAGGAACTCCGATGATGGGCCACCAAATACGTAGGCTTATAAAAAGGAATAAGTTCACTTTGGGTCCCTCTATTTGTCGCCCAGTCCGATTTTCGTCCCTTAACCGCAAAACCGGGTATGACCCGTCCCCCAACTTCCGAAAACCGGGCAAACGAGGTCCCTCGGCGGTTTTGAAGGTGGTTTTGGCTGACGTGGCGCCTACGTGGATTGTTTGACTAGTTCTCTGTCTTACGGGGCATTGATTTGGCGCTGACGTGGCAATTATATCTTGGAAAAATAATAAAATCGTGGGTCCACATGTCAGCCATAGAAAACATAATATAAAAATGGTGGGTCCCACATGTCAGCTAAAAAAATAAATATGGTGGGACCCACGTGGGCCCCACATGTCATTCTCAAATGACCAAATCCAATCCTCTTCTTCCCCTATCTCCGGCTCTCCCCATCTCTCTGCTCCCTCCTCTCGCCGGCCGGCATCCAGCAAGGCGGGCAGCGGCGGACAGCGCGGCACGGCGACGAACATCGCATGGCTAGCGGCGGGCGACAGCGCGCGAGAGGAGGCAGCAAGCTACAGCAGGTCAGCAGCCATCGACTACACCCGCGGCAGCAAGCTACTCCAGCCAGCAACACTAGCAGGCTGCAGCAGCCATCGACTTTGAGTTGCTATGGACAAACGAACGAGCCAGACATCACCTCGGCACCAAACAATAATGCACCCCGATGGATAGCAACGGATATGATTCGATGACGCGCAATAATGGCGGCATCGACGTCCCGCACGCCGTGTCGTCAGGTCACTGCCGGCGACCAGACGATGTCCTTGAGCGCCGGCTGGAGTTCCTCGCTGCAGAACGACCAGTACTCCATGGCATCGCCGCCATCCTTCTTGACGTCCACCACGAGCAATGACGGCACCACGCTAAAGACATCGGCCGCCACGGCGAGCCGCACTCCGCGCGCGCCGCTCCTCGTCACACACGTGGCGTGGCGCCGCCCGTCGCGAACGCCTCCAGCCGCGCGACCAAGCCGCTTGCCGCCTCCCGCGTCGTGAACCGCGTGCCGCCCGCGCGCCGTGGCCCGTCCCGGCGACGCGGCGGGGTCATGCTCGAACAGCGACGACAGGTCGAAGCCCTCGGACAGGGAGATCAGGTGGAAGGCGTTCAGCACCTCGGGCGGTTCGTCCTTGTCATCGCCGGCATTGTCACGCGTGTGCACCGGCGCCGGCGCAGGGTCGGCGATGATGGGGCGCGGGACGGGCGCCGTCTTCCGGAACCACACTCTCTCGAGGAGGCCGGGGACGATGATGCGGGTGCCCGGGTTGGGATCGAGCAGCATCTTGATGAGCTTCCGCCGTAGAGCCGGCTACCGGACCTCCCCAGACCTGCCTTCACGCGGACCGGCAGCACTCCGGTCGGGGGGCGGCGCCGACCACGCCCGTCGCCGCCGCTGGAGCTCGCCTACTCCACCGCCCACCCGCGCCGTCTGCCTGGGAAGGAGAGAGAGAGGGGAAAGGGAAGAAGAGATGAGTGAGGCTGACATAGGGGCCATGTGGGCCCCACTATTTAAATTTTTTTTTGTGTGCAGCTGCCATGTGGGGCCACGCTTTTTATTATTTTTCCAAGATATAATTGCCACGTAAGCACCACGCCAATGCCACGTGGGACGAAAACCTAGTCAAACAAGCTACGTAGGCACCACGTCAGCCAAAACCGCCTTTGGAACCGCCGAGAGACCACGTTTACCCGGTTTTCGTAAGTTGGAGGACGGGTCATACCCGGTTTTACGGTTAAGGGATGAAAATCGGACTGGGCGACAAACAAAGGGACCTAAACTGAACTTATTCCTTATAAAAACGGGCCTGTACTGGGATGGTCATCAGTGCGGCCCAAGAGAAATGGCCTGGTTTACTCAACTGCATCGATGGGCTGTATTGTGGAAAGCCTCTGTTTTGTATGATGAAATAGAATGCAGATTTCCCAGCTTTAGTTAGATCTCTGAGTTGCTTTAATTTGGCCTGGCATACAGATTGTAAAGTACACCATCTGTCCAGGGGAAAAAAAAAACAAAACCTACGGAGACAAATCCGAGCAGAGTTTATCTAGCTAGATAAGTCAAATGGACGTCCACAATTACTATGGGAATAAATCCATTTTAAAATACATCTATATATAGTACACTTTCCTATAATGCCCTCGTTGATCTAACAATTCGGGGATATGATAAAGTTACCAAATTGAATATTCGTGGGCAATGCAAGTTGATCTTGTGGCAGGGGCAGGATAACCCACGGTGGCAGTAGATAAGCACGTACGGTGTGGCAGCGAGCGAGAGACACAGAAAACAGTGGCAACGCGACAGCTAGCTCCTTGAAACTTTGCCAGCGGCATATACTCCACGTAGCGTCCAGTAGCAACGCACTGATCTGCTAGCTGCCAAGCCAGCAGCTAGCTAAGCGGCCGCCAGTGGAATTGAACGCGCGTGCATGCATGGATGGCGTACGTGCACACCCACAGATCGACGGATCGAACGACTGCAACCAACGGTCGGATCGATAGGATCTCTCTCCCTCGCCGCCGTCCGTGCTGGCCTAAAACGGGAGACGTTATTTCAACCGGAAGAAAACTTTGCTACACCTCAAAACCTATCTCAAGAGGCATGAGACTCTCTTCACTTTTAGAGCAAGTTTAATAGTATAGGTAACTACTGGCTTCAAATCATTTATAGCTAATCTAATAGCTTATTTATACAATAGTTATCTCTATACCATTAATGTATGGTCTCACCTTTCATACACACACAACGTATTAAAGTTCGTGCTATAACTGGCTACAAATCTGTAGCCCGTTTTTCTTCTCTCTCTTCTCTTCTCTCCTTCACATGTGCTTACAGCTCACTTGTAACCTTCTATTGTACTCGTTCTTAAGTTAGTTCAACTCCCTCTAAATAAATCAGTAATGTAAGACTATTTGTGGTCGAGATGGGCCCGCGTCTCCGTGCATCCGGCGCCGCGCGCGAACGACGCCAAAAAAAACTAGACCGGCTGTGGCCGGACTGCATGGGTCAGTCAGCGTCATCGTCATCCGATCCGCGCCGTTGTTGTAAACACACCTCGGTACGTGATCGACGACCGCCAAGCTAGCAAAGCGCGGCGACGTCGAGGAGCAATGGGATGGAGCGACACCGGCCACGCGCGTGTCATCACGCACGAGTCACTACGTACTCCGACGCACGCTAGCTAAGCTGCTGCATCGATCTGCATCTCGAGCGCGCGCGGTGATGAGCGGTGGTGGGCGCGCGTGATGAGAGGCTCCGCGCGCGAGCACGTATGTAGTACACGTCTAGTCCCGGTGTGCATGCACCTGCACCGCCGTGCCGCATGCCGCCGTCTGCAGGGGAAAAACGGTCGACGTGGGCGCCTCGCGCACCGCACCACCCTGTTTGCCGTGCACGGCTCCCGAAAAGCCCAACCCCCAACATACACTAGTAGGAGTACAGTACACCAGTGAATAGTGAGGTAAAGGCCGGGTGGTGTAGTACATGTGTACTCCCGTCCGACGACGATGGATGTACGCATGCATGGTCGGAATGCAGCGGGGGCGGGGGTGACGCGACATGCTACGTCCACCATGTGGGCGCTGTCTCATCCGCCTACTTGCGCTTGCGCGCGCTGCCGTGCCGCACACCTCTCCGGTTTTTTGGTTTTTAGTCCGTTTCTGCCTGCTTGCCTGCCTACCTGCCCACAACTTCACACTCTTGCCCCTCTCTTTCTTCACTTCACTCGCTCGCCAACAACAACAGGAGGTCCCAACCTGCGTGCGTGCGTCCGTCAGTCCGTGCATGGGTCTTCTAGGCTCTAGCTAGCTACCCAGTGGTCGATCACTTGCTGGATTAGAGCTTATTGCAGAGTTAGAATGGAGCAGCGATTATACTACTAGTGCTACGACGTCTCTACGAGTATTTTGTACTCTCTCCGTTGACTTTTTAGCACATGTTTAATCGCTCGTCTTATTAAAAAGAATTTGTGAAATATGTAAAACTATATGTGTACATGAAAGTATATTTAACAATAATACAAATGATATGAAAAGAATAAATAATTAGTTAAATTTTTTAAATAAGACGAATAGTCAAATATGTATTTAAAAAGTTAACAGTATCAAACATTTTGGAACGGAGGGAGTACAAATTAAGGCAATCAGTATATATACTCCAACGCAATTATATAAGCTGGATCGATCGACCAGTTTTAATTTAGCCCGACCCCAGCAAACTAAAGTGCATGCGTGTGCTGTCACTACTGACGTCAATTATTCGTGGCCACCATGCATGCGCCCGCCCACCGACCAACACCCTCCTCCGGTGTCGCGCCACGTGGCGCCCTCTCGATGCCACGGTCAACGCAGTCAACCGGACGCCCCATCTCTCCCCCCACTGTACGGCCGGTCACATATCATAACTAGTTCTCCATCCGTTTCGAAATGTTTGACGCCGTTGACTTTTTTAAATATGTTTGACCGTTCGTCTTATTTAAAAAATTTAAATAATTATTACATCTTTTCGTATTATTTGATTCATTGTTAAATATATCTTTATGTAGACATATAATTTTACATATTTCACAAAAGTTTTTGAATAAGACGAACGGTCAAACATGTACTAAAAAGTTAACGGTGTCAAACATTTCGAAACAGAGGGAGTAACTAAGGTGGTGTTTGGATCCATAAGTCCTAGGGACTTATTTCAGTCCTAAGACTAATCACTTTAGTCCATGGTTGTTTTGTTATAGGGACTAAAGTTCATTAAATGCGCTGCACAATAACCATGTTGTCTCTAAAACCATGCAAAGAGAAATACACCATGTCCATGCATGAGGGCAGCAAGTGGAAAAAAGCTACTTTAGTACCAATAAGCTCCTCCCTTAGGGACTTATGGGCTAAAGCACTTTAGTTCCTTTTTAGTCCCTTCTGTTTGAGACTCTACTGATTTAGAAGTACTTAAAAGTGGAGGGACTTTTTTTTAAAGACCCTCGAAGAAACAGGGCCTAACTACAGCTCGTTCCGCCATCAACGAAAAATGGTTAAAAAATAGTTAGTACTCCAATACTCTATAAGCAAGCAGCATTTTGAGCCCCAAGAAACCTAGCAGGAGAACAAAGGTGTTAATCAGCCGTCAACGCACGCTTCTTCCTGATTCGTTTCAGGAATCTGCGGCGTCTCCATGGCCTAAAAACTAAAAACTTGTCGCCCTCCTCACATACACTGCACCTGTAAATTATTATATATGCGACATGGACAAATATACTCAAAATTGTTTGGGAGTGGTAGCTGCACACAGTACGTGCGTATCGATCTGCAGCTCATCAATTTGAACCAAAAATATAATATATTGTATGTTCTCTCGATAAGGATATCTATCTATTATATAATAAAAATAAATTAAATTTTCTAAAAACGTTATCAGAACTCCTACAAACGCTTTTAAAATATCACGTGAGATTCTCGTAAATAAAAAACTTTCAGAGAAAAATGAAAACATCTAAACCTTTCATTTTCATTCAAACTTGTGGACCCACTATTTAGATCCATGAGATCTATTGTGTAGAACTAATGTCTTTTTTAGTTCGCGAAAAGAAAATTTTTGGGTGTCACATCATACGTTTGACCGGATATCGGAAGGGATTTTCGGACACGAATGAAAAAACTAATTTCATAACTCGCCTGGAAACCGCGAGACGAATTTATTAAGCCTAATTAATCCATCATTAGCATATATGGGTTACTGTAGCACTTTATGGCTAATCATGGACTAATTAGGTTCAAAAGATTCGTCTCACGATTTCCATGCAAACTGTACAATTATTTCTTTTACTTTATATATATTTACTGCTTCATGCATATGTTCAAAGATTTGATTTGACCTTTTTGGAAAAAAAAATTGGGAACTAAACAAAGCCTAAGGACCGTTCGATCTCTAGATTTGGAGAGAAATTATTGTTGCACGCAAAACGAGAAATCTCATTAGCACTTTATTAAGTATTATAACTATTATAAAATCGAAAAATGGATTTATTTGCTTTTTTAAAAACAACTTCTATATAAAAACTTTTAAAAAACACACACTATTTGGTGGTTTGAAAAGCGTGCGAATGGAAAACAAGTTAGTTGAAGAATAGAACAGAGCCTAAGGTTGCCAATCCGCTCCACTGTCTTCCATAAGGAAATTGTGGATATTATAGGTACCATATACGCTCACGACTAGACTAACCGACTGGTTGTCGGGGAAATATTATATATAAGATATGTAAGGGATTAGGATTCAGATATTACGTTTACTTGTATATCAAGGAAATGGCCTGTAGCCCTACTTCGGTAAGATTATAAAGTAGTTATAGGAGATTTAAACCGTATTAGGTTAAATCTCTATCTTGTAAACATATGTCTCCTCTGTCTATATAAGGGGAATAGAGCGTCCCATCCCTTAAGGTCATAACCACAATTTAGATCATCAGATAAATACAACAACCAACGAATATAATCTCTAAACATGAGTACATTATTATTTTTCATCAAAAAGGCTTGAACATGTATAAAATCTTACCTCATCACCCATTCATTTTAGATACTTTGCATAAACCCTTTTACGTGTTGCCGAATTCTAGTTTTGACAGAAACGTTCCCCTCCTGCCTAACACGCATTTCGTTTCCTTGGCCGGGATATCCTACTAATATTTCGTTCATTCTCAAACACACATACAGACACAGCACACACGCCCACGCATTTACGTGGGCTACTTTTTTTTTATCAAACGACCGCTAATTTTTTTTAGAAAAAAATCAATCATGCTAAACTAAGAAAACAAACGGCCCCAAGAGAGAGGAGAAATTGATTGTGGTGTAACGGAATTGGTTGGTTTGCGAATGCGTGGTCTTCCAGGCGCTTCCTCCCCCTCCGGCTTTCCCCTGTCCGGTTCACACGCGGCACCCTCCTCCCGCTGCTGCTGACTTGTGGGCTCCCACGGCCTCTCCTGGTCCACGTGTACCAGCCGCAAAGGCCACGTCACCCTCTCCCCCACCGCTATCTCCCTCTGACACGGAGGGCCCAAGCCCCCCACCTCGGTTCACGAGCCCCGCACGCTGCATGCTGGGCACGGCACGCGGCGTCTCCACGTGTCCAGCCCGCGGCTGCTGCGTGGTGAGCTTAGCCATCACCACCGGCGAGCTCCTCCCCGCCCGCGACGTGGCGCGCGGAGACGGGTCCGATGGGGCTCGATCCGACGATCCGGACTCCGGCCTACAGTACCACCTGGCCCCTCCCTCCCCGCGCCGCCTCTAGTGGTGAGATATTTAATTGCGCGGGGCCCCGCCGTACTCGCTTGGCACCCCCCCCCCACCCCCCACCGCCACCGTCGCCGACCGGAAGCGGAAGCGAAGCCAAGCTAAGCTTCCCTCTGCATGCCTCGCCGCGGGCGGCAAATGTGAGGATTCGAATCGGAGATTTCCATCCGTCTATGCCATGTCTGATCACAGCAGCAGCGACGGGCAGAGGCAATGCCGCCGCCGTGGCGTCGGCGTCGACGTCGAGCTCGACGCCGCCATGGCGCTCGCGGACATGGCCGGCGCCGCGCCCGGACAACCCGAGGCGTCGCCGCCGCCGCACGCCACTCAGGTAAATCCGCGCGACGACCTTGGCTAATCGAACGCCTTGGGCTTGATTTTGGTTTGTGTTATGTCGGCAGGAGGCGGCGGCGGCGGCGGTGGCGAAGGGCGAGCAGGAGGACGAGGCGGAGATGGCGAGCACGAGGCTGAGCCTCGAGCTGGGGAAGGTCGGAATCCAGTCGTCGCCGCCATGCTCCAGCAGCTCAAGCGCCGGCCACCCCGCGATGCAGCCCGCCGCCGCGGCCACGGCGGCGCCGGGCTACGGCCCCAGGCCACGCCACATGCTCACCGAGGTGAAACCGACCGCCATTAAAATTCCGTGCTCTCTTTCTCCTCCCCAACCTTTGCCTACCTTAATTAATTACATTTCTGCTAATTACTACTAGGCCGAGAAGGAGGCGAAGCGTCTCCGGCGAGTGCTCGCCAACCGGGAATCCGCCCGGCAAACCATCCTCCGCCGCCAGGTGAACAAATCCCTCACCTGTTCATCATCTTTTAGCCGGAGAAATTAAATCGTTAGTATTATTTATCATGACCTTTCAATATACATACTTAATCTGGGGATGTGCTTAGGCGATCCGAGATGAATTGGCAAGAAAAGTTGCAGATTTGTCGTCGCAGAACGAGACCATGAAAAAGGTAACTAGACTGATGCAGAGAAGCCGTGATATGATCTGATCCTCAATAGTCAATAGCCATAGCCCCCCCTGAATTAGCGATCAGTTACTAGTTACAGCTAGCAAGGTTAATTACGTCTTATCTTAACTGACACTGCTCAATTATGCGTTGCTTGTGCGCAGGAGAAGGACGTGGTGATGCAGGAGTATCTCTCACTGAAGGAGACAAACAAGCAGCTGAAAGAACAGGCACAGTTGCACCTCTCGCTTTCGCTAATCTGAATAATTCTTCCTCCTTTTCGATTAGTATTAGAGTATATTAGTACTAGATGCTACTGTGTTAGGCAAAAGTCGAAGCAGAACCTAGTAGATGTTCCAAAGCTTCTCCAGTTGGGCCCCCTCGAAGCAGGCCACATGACTGCGCCCTTTAGTAATCGCTGCCGTACACCTACGTTACTAATTATGGCCTCCTCTTCTGTATATTATTCCTTGACAGCGATGTGTTTGGATATTAATAATAATCTGCCCAGGTTTTATAATTATCTCTGCCTAATTTTGCCCTTTTTGTCGTTGCATTAGCTTTTCTTGGTGCAACACAAAAAAAAAGATGTTTGCTGGTTGCATGGGATTCATCCGCGTAGTTGGGTCATCTAGGCAGTTCGTCGCGTCAGGGGATGGAGAATTTCTGTACGGTTCAGTTCAGCTCTTGCAACGAAGCAGAGCGAGCTGCTGACACCTGAAGACTCGTGTCCGAGTCTAGAATTTTGGATGATTTAATTATGGATTTGTAACATTTTTCTCCACACGAAATGGATTGGCACAGTGTTATTTGTGGTTAATTAACGTGATGGAGTTTGGAATTTGATGGGGTTTGTGATGTGCAGGTGGCGATCAGGACGATCAAGAAGGCGGCCGTGGCGGAGCCGATGGACACGGCGCCGCCGGCGCAGCAGCAAGCGGAGACGGCGGCGGCCGTGGCGCCGCCGACGACGGCCACCCCGCCGTCGACGGCGCCGCAGCCGAGCTTCCTGTACACCGCGGCGCCGGCGGGCGTGGCGCCGGTGCCGTACGTGTGGGGCTCGTGGCCGCCGTGCGGGCCGACGGGGTACGAGCCGCCGCCGCCGCTCTGCCTCCCGCCCTGCGCGTGGTACTACCCCGTCGTCGCCGATCCGCGCGTGTCCTCGCCGCCGACGTCGACGTACCCGCAGTCGTACCAAGAACAGCCGACGAGCAGCCCTGGCGGCGGGACGGCCGAGGAGGACACCGACGACGACCCGTGCTCGCTGACACTCGCCATCGACGTCGACAAGAGGAGCGCGCCTGGCGCCGGCGGCAGCGCGGCCGGAGCTGGACAGCACGCCTCCATAAGCGACAGGGAGAAGGCGACGGCGGCGGCGGAGGCGAGGAAGCGGAGGAAGGAGCTGACCAAGCTGAAGCAGATGCACGGCGGCGGCGGCGGCTCCCGTCCCGGCGGCGGAGGCGAGCACTGGTGAACCCTGAACATCTCATAACCACAACAACGGAACAAACAGACAGACAGACAGCATTGGTGACAACGGTGAGGAAGAAGATGATGACTTTCGATTGGTTTCTTGGAGGCAAACAACAGAAACAAAAAACTGATATATAGTTTCCTTGCATTTGTTCGATCACGTTGCTACTAGCTAAGCTTACTCGAGTATCGATCCTTTTAATTAGAGATAGCTTAGGTTTTGCATTCTGGTCAAAAGTCCTTAATCAGGCACAGGAGCAAATCATCCTTCTTTTAATTTTCTTTCTGTTTTTCTTGATTCTTTGGTGCAACAATCACAATCTGTAACTGAGAGAATTAGTAGCAGCAGGCAGTACTGGTTGGTTCGATGATCATGTAGTAGCAAGCATTGCACCGGAGTCGATCGTGTGAAATGAAACGATTCTTTATTATATGTACGTAGCCAGCAGCAGTAGATCGAATTTCTTTTGCACCCTTTAGCTACTGATCCAGTAAAAATGTACTATGTTATTATTATGATCATGAATGCACCATCAAACTATGATCAACCGACGCCTAATTGCCTATGAAGAGGTGCAGATGCATGAATTTTGTTCTCTTTTAGAGCACTTCTTCTGTGGACGTGGAACAGTGTACATATAATTAATAATCCTTTTTATGTATTTTAAAATGGGAAAAGACTATATGTACTAACCTTTTCTTACTAAATTTACTAAGATTGATGTGTCCATGCATCTACATGTAGCTGTATAATACCTTTGATTTTTCAAAATATTTATTTAAATATGTAAAAGTACAAGTTAAGTTTATATATTTATTTAATAATAGAATAGAATAAAATAAACAATATATATATATATATATATATATATATATATATTTTAACAAGAGATAAAACGTTATATGAAATCAACTTCATATAACGGCGCCATATTGAAATAGAATGAGTATATGCTCTATATATTTTCCACGACACCTCGCTCTTGTATGGTGTAATTATAGTTCTATTTCCTCCTGAGATGCAAATGTCGGTGGCATCGGCCGGTTATCACCTATAGTATCAGCTTTGTAAGGAACAGATATTTAGGGATGAACCATTGCAATGGACTTCAAATGTATCCTGCGCACATCTTGGACAGAATGGAACAAAAGACTGAATGCCAAAAAAAAAAGATAAAAAATATATGAAAGACTGAATACACTCAGGCGAGTGCAGTTACATATATACGCTTGATCTTTTCGATATGAATTATCGTATTTCGATCCATATCACTGTATGGCTCAGTACGAATAAAACAGTTTCTTGTATCATTTTCAGTTTGGTGTTCACCATTTTCGCCTATTGGGAGGGAAAAAAACGGGTACCAAAATGATGCTATCGATCTATAAATCGACGTAGTTTGACAAAAAAAAAGAAATTTCAGCACCATGTTTGAAAGAAAAAAAAAGGATTACCTAGTGATCTTGCGATAGACTTCCAATCTTGCATAATTTGCCCTTTTTAAATGAGATAACTAAAAAAAATAAAGCATGTAAACAAATTGTAAATCTAGGAAAAAACTGTTCAATTTAATTTTGGTCCATTGTAACTGAATTTATGTGCTATGTAATTAAGTGTAACTGCACCGTAACTAAGTGTAACTACAAATTTAATAAAAAAAATAAATTTTGATGCAAGATCTTACGGGCGAAAAAGTGAAAGACAGAAGCCAAAAAATATGTCGTAAGTGAAAACAAAACCAAAAAGAAAAGAAAAATCCAGTCGCAGGGGTTCGGAGACCGTACCAATTCCCGAAAAATTATGCCAAGCCCATCATCAGTACAGCCCAATTCTTGGGCCTAAACCCCCGTGTATATCAGCCCATCCGTTGGACATCAAGGCCCAACTTCTAATGGGCCTCCATCACTGTAGCCGTCTCCAACTCCGAGGTGCACAGTGTCCTTCCTGTTGGTGTGATAGTTCCAGAAACATCCTCCTCTTCGCCATTCCCAACTCGATTGCTGCGCTTCCCTCAGATCCAGCGCCTGCCCAAGCCTACGCGGGATGCCACCGCCGCCGCCGCCGCAGCCGCAGCCGACGACGACAGCGACGACGTCGGCGAACGGGGGGAAGGTGACCCCGAACCTGACGATGGACGCCGAGGGCACGCGGCTGCTCAACCTCACCGTGCTGCAGCGCCTCGACCCCGCCGTCGAGGACATCCTCATCACCGCCGCCCACGTCACCCTCTACGACTTCAACATCGACCTCAACCAGTGGGTGAGCGATCCCCCCCTCCACTCCTCGCGGATCCGATCCGGTTGGTTGCTTGCTTGGTGATCCTGTGAGCTCACTCATGCGCTGTGTTTTTTTTCCTTTTTTGTTTCAGAGTCGGAAAGATGTGGAGGGGTCGCTGTTCGTTGTGAAGAGGTGAGTGTTTTAGGGTTTTGGTTGGGGTTTTGATACCGTCTGAGCCTGCGATTTAGGGATCTGATTGTTTCGGGGGTGGTTTTGTCTCGTTGTAGGAATACTCAGCCGAGGTTCCAGTTCATCGTTATGAACAGGCGTAACACGGGTATGTGAATCTGTGATCTAACCCTCAACTAATTCATCATCGAATGGATATGTTTAGGCATTGAACCGATTGATATGTAGGGTCGATCGCGTGCTTTCAGTCTAGCTGAAAAACTCCCAAGTTTGTCACTAGATCCTATGATTAACAAATGCTCTTCTGAATCTGAAGTTGTACTTTAGCTCTGCGTATGGAGTTACTCGATTCATTTGCTGGGTTTCTCCTGAAATGATCGATGTTACCTTCTTGTTTTACTTGCAAGATAATCTGGTGGAGGATCTATTGAGTGATTTTGAATATGAACTTCAACCTCCGTATTTGTTGTACCGCAATGCTGCCCAAGAAGTAAATGGTATCTGGTTCTACAATCAACATGACTGCGAAGCTGTTGCAAGTCTTTTTGGAAGGTAATGCTCTCCCCATGGTCCTGTTCTCATGGCATATTCTGTTGTGGCTATGATGTATACTGGAATCACATAGTACAAGGTAGTGAGATTGTTAATCTACTTGGTGTGTATGCCCGCAAAAAAGAAAAATCTAGTTAAGTAGTTAGTGTGTAGATTATAAACATGTAGGAGTGGATAACGTCAACAAACGAGATTGATAGCAGGCTGGATCACATTCTGTCGACTTGGTAGAAGGAACAATACTTATGTGATGGATATCTTTTATTACTTTCTAACTGAATTATGATGAACACACTCGATGTTCTCTTCAAGGCAATCTACTAATTTTCCTGCGATTAAAAGTGTGAAGGCTATTGGGTTCCATTCTGTTGCTGTATACATTCACCAAATTATAAATTAGAGTACCAGTTGCAATAGTGGGGTCTGATCCGACATTTTGGGAGACACTGCTGCATGATATTCAGACAGCCATTTTTTTCCTCCTTTTTGGCTGGCAATATGAAGCAACTCAACACAAACTTATGCGCTGTAAAAAGTAAAAAAAAAAAATCTCCCTTAGAGTTGCAGCTTGCAGTCTACAAGTGAGATCCTCCATCACATAGAAGCTAGAACATGCTCATGGTCGTTTGATACTCAGAAGTAATGGTCCGATGATTTCTTCTCACCTATTCGAACAGTAGGACCACCATGCTCTGAAATTTCATGCTGTAGGGAATTATGTATTCTGTATCTAGAAAGGAACAGTATTCTGTATTTTACAGAATGAATTGATACTCTTATTATTATTTTTTTACAATATATCATGTCCTACAAATTGTGTTTGCAAGCACTAGTATGTAGTGCCTTAGATTGCTGTAATATGATCTTTGTTGTGTGAAGGTCCAGGTATTTCTGTGTCTTCTTTTGTTCTTTTCACTATTACATGTTGGAATGTCCTGGTTCAATTATTTGTGAAAATTTTATGAAAATCACTTCTCAAGTCGTGTTCCACTCCCTTTCCTCGGCAGAATACTGAACGCATATGCCAAAGTGCCTCCAAAACCAAAAGTGCCTTCCACGAAAAGGTTTTTCATCTGCACTTCTGAATGGAAACTAGTAAAATATGTACAAAGATTTGCTTAAGCTAAGTTCGTCTAGTTGGCAACAGTGAGTTCGAGGAATTGGAGGCTGTGCCTACATCTGCAGCCATAGATGGTCCCCTTGAACCTTCGCCAGCGACCACCACTATAGTTTCTGATGCTCCTGATGAATCCCTGGTTAATTACTTCAGTGTACGTTCTCTTCAAACTTCTCTTGCTTCTTCCTAAAAATATTTTTTTCCCTAATGTTCACATTGTTTCGTCAATCGTATATTCGATGTAGATAGATTCTTAAACTTGTTTACTGGGATTCTGAATCAATTTTTAGTGCCAAATGCTAATGAAATGTCCTTCTAAACAATGTACAGAGTGCTGCTAGCATTGGCAGTGTCTCAAATGCTCCAATGGCTGGAAGGGCGCATCCATCCTCTGAGAGTGTTGCAACTCCCCATGTGCCCTTGATCATTCCATCTGCTACTCCGACACATCAAATACCCCCTCCTTTAGTCGGCTCATCAGCTCCGCCACTGCCCCTCCATGATACTAATGTCCACACTGCCCGTTCAGCAAATCTTGTAACACCAGCATTTTTTACGCCTCCGTCATCCTCTTCTACATCAATGGTGCCTCCAGCTTCATCCATGATGCCAACAGCACCACCTCTTCACCCAACTTCTGCATCTGCTCAACGAGCAACATATGGAACCCCCCTACTCCAACCTTTTCCACCGCCAACTCCACCTCCATCTCTTACCCCTTCATACAATGAGGGGCCTATTATTTCACGGGATAAAGTTAAGGAAGCCCTCCTGAGACTTGTTCAGGTATGGTTCACATTGAACTGATGTACAAGGTATGATATTTATTCGTTATATATGGTTCTAACTATTGCCATATGCCTAACAGAATGACCAGTTCATCGATTTAGTCTATCGGGAGTTGCAGAATGCACATATGTAGACTAATTATTAAGCTGTATGGAGTTGTGGCCGCCACAAGAGTGCTTGTGTTCTTTGTGAGTTTTGTATGCTTTAGTGCTTGGACTTCTGTATAGCTGTCTTCATTGTGGTGATGTAGAGTCCTTATAGCAGTGGTTGGCAGTATTTATAATATTCCTTATTTCACGTACTGTCAATGTCATAGTATATTTATGTAACAAAAAACGGAAGTAAAACAGGACTTGTGTAAGGGTGTTAAATATCATAATTTTTCGTGTGATTTACTGAGCAATGACCACCGCGGTGTCGGGGTTTTCATAGAGGTGTTTGCTCTGCTATTGATCATCATATGTTCTTCATGCCAGCACACATTAGTGATTGTCTTTTTGGATTTAGAGCAGCGGGATTCAGCCCCACCTAATTTCCACCAATGGTGCAATATGAACGATTCCAAACCAATGCTATGCAAATGCAAAGCTTGCAGCGAATTACCCATTTCAGTCATTATTTCGTTGTTCATTCTTAAATACGAAGATGGATACTTAAAGAGGGGTTGTTTTGATATGTCCAACAAGGATGATTTTTAAACATGATTTAGTTGAAGTTTAAAATATTTGAATCTGGGTTCTGAAGCGTCAAACAAGAAAAATAGTGGGAGTATTCCTTTATGTAATGAAAACATGAACTTTGCTGCATTTATGTTATTCAGGAGGATTACTGTATGAAGTGTAGAAAATAGGAAGAGCTAAATATGAGTAAAGAGATTGCCCACGTAAGTAGCATTCCAGATGTCTCAAATATCTCTCCAGGCATTAATAGCAAACAGGAAAAATTTGTTACTATCAATTTAGCCAATTTTGTGATAACAGTTCCTACGACACTAGTACCACTTTTATCATATTTACATTTCTTGCCATTCTCAACGAAATTGTACGGTACCCAGCTACGTACGCTGCTTATGCCGTTATGCCTGCCCCGCCGCTCGCCGGACGCCGCCGCATGATCACCGGAAGGTGAGCATGACGAGGAAGCCGACGAACGCCGCCGCGCCGACGCCGGAGCAGCAGAGGTCGACGATGCCCTCACGCCTCGCCTTCCACTCCTTCCTCGCCCTCTTCCCCTTCACGAACTCCTCGTACCGCTGCCTCGCCGCCGCCTCCGCGCCCTTGCCCCGCCGCGCGCCCGCCATGGCCGCGGCCACCGCGCCCAGCCCGTCCTGGCCGCTCACGCCGCCGCCCTCGCCGTCCTCGACGCACAGGCTCACCTCCCTGACGTGCCCGTACCTGTCGTCGCAGGTGACGGCCGCGTCGAGGGCGACGCCGCCGCCGAGCATCACGGTGAACCGCGCCACCGTCTCCCCGGTGAGCCACTTCCGGTCGACGGCCACCGGGCGTCGGCTCGAGGCGTTCATGGCGCGGCCGGACGCGGGGTCGATGAGTATCCAGCTCAGCGTCAGCGAGCTCGGCGTGATCGGCGACGGCGCCGAGAAGCCCTCCTGGACGAGCGCGTCGACGCGGAACGGCGAGCCCAGGAACCACGCCGACGAGGTGTCCGTCTCCACGACGCGCGACATGATGCAGACGCCGCCGTGGTGCAGGTCAACGGCGGAGACGAGGCGTGATGGGAGGGACCCGGGCACCGGCGCCGGCGCCGCCGACGCCACCGCCGCCGCTGCCTCCGGGAACGGGAACGCGTCGGCGAAGAACGCACGGTACCCGTCTCCGCCGCCGCCGCCGCCGCAGCCGAGCACGTCGCGAACCGACGGCCACAGGGCGAGGCAGAGGCCGCGCCACGTCTCCTGGTCGACGGCGAGCTCGCGGAAGCTGGAGCACGCGCACCCCACCGCCGCCAGCGACGCGCCGTCGAGCCGCCGGAGCACGAGCGCGAGGACGTCCGTCGGAAGGTCCTCGATCACCGTCCCGACGCCGCCGCCGCACGCCGGAGCACGGAGCTCATCCATCGCTGCAACCCTTTTCTTTCCTTCTGTGTACGTGTCCGTGACGTGTGCCGCGACTTGGCGAAATTTGTGAGGTTTTGTGTTTGTGTTTGGTGTGGATTTGAAGCTTTAGTTTGGTTTGTATATATATTTGTGAGGATGGTAAGTGATCACGGTCTGAAAGCGAGAGGCTTTTCCTCCTGCTGCAGCTCAATTTGGGAGCATATGCAATGCGCTTTTGAAACTATAGCTTGCGTTGCTGAAAAGCAAAGTTGTGCACAAAATTAAATAGATGAAAATTAATACTAGATGAGATGATAGCGTATCCAAGTCACTGACAGGTGGGCTGTGGCGTGTTGGGCTTAACTAGCTGCTTTGACCGACGTGTCAACAAAGGGGTGTCCTTGTGCTTTAGCTGATAGTATATGGATAGAGCAGGGCAAATGCATTATGCATCTCCTCTGTTAGGTAATCCAGTTCAAAACAGATTTTTTTATTAAATTATTGTAGCGAACTTAATTGCAACGACAAATCAAATACTATTATGTACTCTCTTCGTTCCATATGATTATTGTCTTAAATCAAACCTCTTAAGATTTAATTAAGTTTTTCTTAAAAAACATGCCATCTACTTATATCAGATTAGTTCCACCATTTATTATTTTTAGTGTATCTATTTTGGGTTAGAAATGCTACTGATCAAATTTTAAGAACTTTTTTTATATAGGATAAATATGAAATGACTTACAATATGAACCGAGCCAGCATCAAAACTACCTAAAAAATAGCTTAGAATATATGTAATGTAGTAGGAGAAAACATTTTGGGAAATTGTATTTTTCAATCCTAGAGTAAATAGTTCGCGACGATAATATAGTAAGTCTGAAAGAATGTTTTTCCTTTAGAAATCTTCTAGAAAGGAAAGAAACAAAAAGGTTTGAATACTATAGAGATGGCGGCTTGTTATACACAGGAACAGAGGTTGCCATCTCTTTGCCTTTGGTTGAGACCGTATTAATGGCACAGACAGTAGAAACAAAATCACAGGAGGAGAGCGTCCTAATCGCGTTTTCTACAGTGCATGTGATAGCTAGGCATCGGATGAAAAACGACGCGAATACTAAAGAAGAACTTAATACTAATTTATTATAAGGGACGAGACTTTTAACTCAGATCATCTAGTTCAACATCTTGTGAAGCTAGCCGGAGTATCCACAGACGTTATTACGACGTCGGATGGACAATTACAGCATGTCGCTTATGAATAATTGGTTCTCAAAACCAACGGATTTTGGATGTTGTTAAACATGTCGATCACAAGAACAGCAACAGTCACACGGCTGAATGGTTGCGTGCATCTGAATTCCGACATTTTCTGGGCTCGTACGGTGTATGGAGTTGTAATGTTAAATCTGGATGTCATCTCAAATCTCAAAAGTAAAATGGCACAGTGTTAGTAGCTGATAATCTCTGCTAATAATTGAGTACATGTGTTTAAGTTTCAAAGTAAGAAAGAAGTGCATGCATCGGAAGAAGAAGTGAATGCATTCATGTACCGAATGTATATATCATCATCTGATCCGTTCCTCTAGTAGATCATCTGTTTTGCTGTAGTTTAGTCTTCTAATTAACTAGTGCTAGTACTGCTACTTCTTATGGTTTCAGATTGCATATAGTTTCTGGTACACTCCTTTCCAGTCATTAATACATGACGTTTGACGGATTATCGCTGTGATTAAGTTTTTTTTTGAAAGAGGTCGCTGTGATTAAGTGACATAACAGTCAATTTGCTACCCTAATTACTAGCTACAGTTCTCTTCTCGCAAAATTGAGTTCAGATACAAAGCTGCATTATTTTCTTCTTGTAAAATTGAGCAAGAAACTGTACAATATGGGGTTGCCTTCATGGTTCATTTCTAGCTTGGAAATATACAAATCTCACAATTAAATTTTACGCAGCACGGCCAAATTAAAATCTTATATGAAGAATCAACGCTCAACTCACTGCAATAGGGCTAAAGTACACACGGTACGTGCAGTACTAGCATCATCTTTTCTTCGTTTTCGACAAGGTCAAATTTGATCTGCGAAATCTCGTCCAAAATTCAGCAGCTCTTGCACGGGTGTGAGAAACAGTCAAGTCAACCAAACCCTGCAATCCATTGGCCACCAACTTGTAGGTTAAGCCGTCGCGATTCCTCTCTTTTTCTGCATAAAAAAACCAAACCTTTTTTTTCCCTTGTCTGCACATGCAATCGCAATTGAGTTTCATGACGACGTCGAACCACACGATCGTGCCATGAACCTACCTCCATATTTTCCTTTTTCTGAATTCTGCACACGATCGAAGATGATTTGCTCCTCCTACCCGGACGTCTACTTGTAGTACCATAATACCAAGGACGTTGGCGAGTCATTCTCTCATCTCGTCCTCTTTCTCTCGCTCATCTATCCATCTCCAGGAAATCTCTTGCATTCAGATTTCACTATTCAGTGAGCATTCATGCGTGCATGTTTCAGAATTCAGACCAATTCGGCATGAAACTCCGGAATTCAGATCACTGGTATTGTCATATTGATCACTAGAACGAAATTGCTAGATTACTGTCGACAGTTTTTTAAGGAAAAACTTTCGATTTTTAGACTATTAGATTTGCTCTAAGATTCGTGCTAGCAAGTATGAGAAAAAATAAATTGGCAAGTGCAGTTGTTAAGATTTAACCTCACGCCCTTGAGTTCATTGAGGATCTATGCTACCAGTACCACCGCGCCATACAATTTTTGCGATAGTTTTATTCCAGTAACATATGAGTTACAATATACTTACACTCTAGTTAAACTATAGTTGCATTTGAAAGTTTTATAAAAAAAAAACTTGCGACAGTTTTAAATCAAGCTTTTTATGGGACTCTCTGTCCGCTATGTAAAATATCAATCCGTTTCTAAGCCAAAAACCGGGGTTAATATTTTTCTCGGTTTTCGTGAAGACCGCTATCTCACGACAAAGGCTGTGTTCGGGTCTCGACACGCAAAACGAAACTCGTATTATTGCGTGATTAATTAAGTATTAACTTTTTTTTGAAAAATGGATTAATATGATTTTTTAAAACAACTTTTATATATAAAGTTTTTGCATAAATCACACCGTTTAGCAGTTTGAAAAGCGTGCGCGTAGAAAACGAGAGAGATGGGCTGGGAAAATGGGGGAAGAATACAGCCAAAGTCCGGTCAAAATTTGTCAGAATTTGAAATTCAGTTTTGAAATTTATTTTTTTGAATTTGTGGAGAAAATTGAGCGATTTATGTTCTCGTGCGTCACGCAGGAAGTCTGGTTTCGCGTCGGTTTTGTAAACCCTGTTGTAAATACAGTATTCCGTCCAACTTTCTTGGATGTGGTGCAATGCATGTACACGCAGCGCAGGAGCAATTAATCCGATTGGTTGGTTAATTTCGTTTTCATCTGTGCTTTTTGTGTGGCTCTCCTAATCTTGATGGTCCTTTTTTTCGAGGTTTAATTAAGACGGTAGAGACCTGTATCACTGTATGTCGCTATACATTTTTCCCTTTTTTTCCACTCCACTCTTTGCATGCGAACCATCTGAAAAGCATGATTAGCTTCAGAATTAAGTGTGGTCACTTGGTCAGATCTCAAATTAATCCAACAGTGCGAAATGTATACCACACTTAATTCTGAAGTGACTCTGAGCTTTCATAATTTGTTAGTAGTTGTTGCCACATCCTTCTCCATGTCACACAACCCTTTCACTGTGATTATAAGATTAGGACAGAGTTTGTTTTTTGCTTGATATACTTTGATGGTTTGAGATACCTGATAAGTAGTGAAAAAAATGAATAAAGCTCGTAAAAATAATTTACATGAAAAATATTATATTTGTGTTATTAGGGTTTAAAAGCCAATGTCATAAAATAGGCCGCAATGAAAATACCCCAAATCTTTAATACCGATTTCAAGGCCAAGATTCTAGCTTACCATTGGGCCACGTGGCAGCCTCAAAATTTAGCTAGACACCTTAGAAATCCTTCCACGTGTCCATCTGTATAGTTCTACCTTTCTCCAGCTTATTGGTACACATGTGCCACTTGAACTTTAAGATAAATCTTAGAGGGAAAAAGTGTCCAGTAGAAAAATTACAGATTCTAGATGCTTCCAACTATCTAGCTGTTTGCAACATCTAGGCTCCAAGAGGCATTAAACTGTTTCATTGAAGATAAATCATAATTGTTTTGGGAAAAAAATATAAATCCAGTAAAAAAAAGGTGCAGAGGGCCGGCTCTTACAAATACAAGTGACGCGACGAAGAGAAAAGCGGCATCGAGGAAGACAACATAAATATACGGTAGTGACTGAAATATTTTTACTATGAGTCAGAACAGATATATCCTGGTAACTTCCAATGAAACATACTACCTTCGGCTTTTAATAGATAATGCCGTTGATTTTTTATCAAACGTTTAACTATTTGTCTTATTAAAAAATTTATGTAATTATAATTTATTTTTTAAGTTGTTTTATCACTCAAAGTATTTTAAGCAAGATTTATATCTTATACATTTACATGAATTTTTTGAATAAACAAATGATCAAACATATGTTCAAAAGTCAGTGACACCATCTATTAAAAACAGAGGGAGTATATACGGATTTAGTCCTCTTCGGATTTTTGTACTATAATTTCTTCTTTTAAAATCTGTATGAGAATAGATTTTTATCGACAAGATAATTATGAAGCAAAAGACTTAGGTGTGTTCTTTTTCCTCTTACTATTATGGATTATCAAGGGCATGCTTCACAAGCTTATGGTTTATTATTTGATTTGTTTTAAATCAATACATCAACTTTATAATATTTAATCCATTTATTTAAGCTCTGAAATAATTGTTATACACCAGTTTCATCTATAGTCCATCATCAATCGAAACTTAAACGCAGCATGAGCATCGTTAATCGAAACTTAAATACTGCAGGAGATTAGGCTAATAGGATGATATGCAAAATAGAATATTTGATGAAAATCGAGATAACTCATAAAAAATCCTGTAAATTTTTCATATTCTAAACACACTCTGGAAAATTTACACATGTTACATAGCGCGCTAATTTTCTAGTCAAATCTAAAATTAAGTTGTAAGAAAAAATTATTTTTTTTTGAAACTAAACAAAAAAAATTAAATTTTGACTGTATACGAAAGAGGCTGTGGTCATATGTACAGTACTCCTATTTGTTAGTAGTTGCCATATCCTTCATGTCACAACCTTTTTCA